CTGGAATATAAAGTAAAGATGACAGAAAATCTTATAAAACTGCAAAATATTGTGGTGTTGTGTGTGTGTGTTTATTTAAAAGCAAAACAAAAACTCCTATATAAAGTTCAGTCCTTACCCCATGTATCAATATCCTGGCTCCAATCTGCTTTGGGATTCAATTATGAGTATGCCAGCATAGTGTATGTTGGGGCATCAATCACAGAGAGTGGAGTCAGCATTTCCTGGCTGCTCTGGATGTCAGAAACCTTGTTTTAAAAGGTAAGTTTTCAGTTGAGAATGTGTTGAATATCTCTTTGTGTTTATATGGAAACATTCAGCATATTTCTAAAAGGTATTTTTATTATGTTTGCATTTTTAAAATTTACTTGTAACTTGACACAGCTCAAAGTCACATTTTATACTTGTCCTCTGTCTAGGCCTTCTTTTCTCTTGTTTTCCTCTTGTTAATACCCTATATTGTGTTTCCAAAAAAAAGTAATGTTTTGGTTGTCTACAACCTGGAACAAGATGGTAACTAAATTCTGTTTAATATCATTCTGAATGATCTGGGCAAGGGCACCCTCAGCCATTTCAGAGACAACACCAAGTTGGACAGGAGTGTTGATCTGCTGGAGGGTAGGAAGGCTCTCTGGAGGGATCTGGACAGACTGGATCATTGGGCCAAGGCCAATGCTGTGAGGTTCAACAAGGCCAGGTGCCCTGTCCTGCACTTGGGTCACAGAAACGCCAGGCAGCGCTACAAGCTGGGGGAGGAGTAGCTGAAAGTGTCCCAGTAAAAAAAGGACCTGGAGGTGCTGGTCAACCATGGCTGAACATGAGCCAGTAGTGTGTCCAGGTGGCTGAGGCGTCCGATGGCATCCAGGCCTGCATGAGAAATAGTGTCTTCAGCACTCCAGGGAAGTGATTGTCCCCCTGTACTTGGCACTGGTAGGAATCAAAGCACCTGGAGTCCTGTGTTCAGTTCTGGGCCCCTCACTACAGGAAAGACATTGAGGTGCTCAAGCATGTCCAGAGAAGGGCAACGAAGCTGGTGAAGGGTCTGGAACATGAGACCTGTGAAGGGCAGCTAGGGGAGCTGGGGCTGTTTAGCCTGAAGAAGAGGAGACTCATGGGAGACCTCACTGCTCTCTACAGCTATATGAGAGGAGGTTGTGGCCAGGTGGTGGTCAACCTCTTCTCCCAGGTAACAAGTGCTGTATGTTTCTGATGAAAATATACCGTCAGAGGTCCAACCTGAACCTCCTAGGCTTCAGTTTATAACTAATCTCCTACATTTTATCATTTGGTATTTTTGAGAATTTGCAACACAAACATCTGTAAAAGCAAGTCTATTATCTGTAGAAATTAATAGGCAGCTATGTAAGTAGGGAGCTAAGTCATAGCTCTATCAATTATTGATTTGCCTTTTTTTTTCTTTTCCTCCTGGAAAAAACCACAAGACTGTGTTAGAGAATGAAATGGCATAGGAAAAGAAATGCTAAGTTTTGTAGTGATGTGTCTTAAGGTTATAGATATATTTTTCATATCTCTTTTTACTATTTAATATTTAAGGAATTATAGCATCTGGCCTTTGCAGAGATCTTACATATTTGCACAGAAAATCAACTGAACCACAATGTAGAATAATGTCATTTGACCTATATTTGTTCTGTCCTTACTATTTCTGAGGAGAGAAGGTTCTTCTCATGGCTTAAATTTGTCTGTGTTTCCATTAACAGGTTTATTGTCAACTCCAAAACCCAAGTAAGAAAGATGAATAATTGGGATAAAGGGAAAAAATTTACATTTTTAAAAATTGTATTGCTATAAAATTTACATTAAAATGTAGAGTTTTCCAGAAACTATATCCAGTGGATACTATTTTTCACAGATTCACAGAATGGGTCAGGTTGGAAGGGACCACAGTGGGTCATCTGGTCCAACCTCTCTGCTCAAGCAGGGTCATCCCAGAGCACATGGCACACGATTGTGTCCAGACGGTTCTTGAATATCTCCAGTAAGGGAGACTCCACCTTTCTGGGCAATCTCTTCCAGTACTCAGTCACCCACACAGTAAAGAAGTTCTTCCTCATGTTCAGGCAGAACTTCCTGTGCATCAGTTTCTGCCCATTGCCTCTTGTCCTGTTGCTTGGCACCACCAAGAAGGGCCTGGCTTCATCCTCTTGGCACCCTCCCTTATAAGCCTTGGACATCCCCTCAGTGATCTCTTCTCAAGGCTGAACAGGCCCACCTCCCTCAGCTTTCCTCGTAAGAGATGCTCCATTCCCTTCGTCTTTGTCACCCTCCACTTGCTACAGGAGCTCCATGTCTCTGTTGTACTGAGGAGCCCAGAGCTGGACACAGCACTTCAGATGTGGCCTCCCTAGAGCTGAGTGGAAGGACAGGATCACCTCTCTCAACCTGCTGTCAATGTTCTTCCTAATGCACTCCAGGACACCATTGGCCTTCCAGGCCACAAGGACACACTGCTGGCTCATGGACAGCTTGTTGTTCACCAGGACTCTCAGGTCCTTCTCTGCAGAGCTGCTCTCCAGCAGGTCAGCCCCCAGCCTGTACTGGTGCCTGGGATTATTCCTCCCCAGGTGCAGGACCCTGCATTTGCTTTTGTTGAATTTCAGACAGTTCTTCTCTGCCCATTTTTCCAAACTGCCAAGGTCTTTCTGAAGGTCTGCACAGCCCCCTGAGGTATTGGTCACTCCTCCCACCTTTGTGTCCTCAGCAAATTGGCTGAGGAGACCTCTGTCCCGTCATCCAAGTCATTGATGATTAACTGAATGCTGGACTGGTGTTGAACCATGGAGGACACTTACTAGGAACAGGCCTCCAACTGGAGCTAGCTCTAGAATTCAGGGGGCAGGGATTGGTTAGGTTTTTTGTTCATTTTTGTAATCAAGGAGAAAAGTGACTTATATTTGTTCATACTTGTTCTTCTGTGAAGTGTTAATGAAGCCAATAAAGCCTTGAAGTCTGTCCTTGACTAAATGTTCTACTTGTATCTGGCTGCCTGATACATTTACCACTTCATTTACTCAATCTGCTAATATTTATGTCTCATAAATACTCTTTTTTTTCTATATAAGCCACAATCTTGGCTTATTTAAAGACCAGTTAGTTTTAGAAATTAATAATTTCATGTTTTTTCTTTGTAGTGATTTTTCATATCTTTTTAATACTACATTTTCACACATCCCCTTCTTTGCTATATCAACTGCATGTACAGAATTTCTATATCACAATAGTAGTGGTATTGTTTATTTTTGCTGTTTGATTTTTGTTTTGAGACAATCCACTAGTACTCTGTAGTATATAAATTCATCCTTTTAAAACTGTCTATGAAATGTTTTGTATCTCTTACAAAAAAAATCTGTGCACATAATATTCTTTCGTATGTTAACAATTAATTCCATTGATTACTGACATTAGGAGATGATATCAGATGCCCCAGTAGGCTACAGTGAGCACAGGGCTGTTTTCTGTTGCAGTGGCTAGTGACAGGTTTTATGCTGCAGTGCGTTACATGTGCAAATGTGACTGGCCATAAGTGAAGGAAATTAAAATACAGTTTGCTGGCTTGTCTGTGTGTTCAACAGTGATCATTATGTGGTAATGTAATATAATATCCTACTTAAAATCTTTGCTTTTGTAATTTTAATTGAAGAATGACGGAGTAACTATTTGTTTTGTTATGTAACATGTAAATGATTGTTCATAAAAAATAGATACTTGGTCTTCAAACAAGCATTTAGTCTGACTGATCTTGCTGTACATTGGAGGGATCTGCTGAAATGTGTAAAAAGTCCTTAGGAAGATCATTCTTTTAGACTACTGAAAGGCAACTATGTCAAGCTTTATCCAGATTTTCCTCCCTTACATTTCTTTGTGTGCTAGACCACAGGAAGCTGTAAAGGATATAAGAGCTATCAAAAGCTAAATATGTATATGAAATAAGTAAGTTCCCAAGTCTTGCTTCTTTTGCTTGCAGAACCATAGTCTCTTTATTGTCTTACATCCTCTCTGACAAGTCAAGAGCTAAAATCCTCATTTACATAAAACGCACAGAGTTAGTAGAGTGGGAGAAGTACTAGAGTACACCACTTCTCTTTTATAACAGTTACAAATATATGCACTGTTCAGTCTTTTAGGTAATGAACTACAGAATAAAGTTTTGGGAAGAAATATTTACTAGGGATATTTATGAGTGTTGAGGGGTGAGTTCTGCAGCACCATGGCTGCCATAGTTGTCATTTCCCAGTGTCTTTAATCCTCATTCAGACTTTCCTGATTTAAGAAAACATTGATTTTTCATGAAAGATTATAAGATTACATATATCGGTTTTGAAAATAACACCATTTTTAATTATACATTTAAATTAAAAGCTTAAAGATTTTACATGGGAAAACTGGTCTGTGCTGCATAGTCTGTTGCTTCATAAAAGATCAATTTGCAAAACTTTTATTTTAAAAAACCCCTTTATCTAGAACTTTAAATAAAATGTAATGCAAAAGCTGTGGGGGTTTTACCCCTGAAAATTACAGTAATTTTTTTTTTTTCAAATAATAATACCACTTCTCTTAAATGAGATTATGGTAAGATTTTCTGTAGAGATTTTATCTCTGATTGTGAAAAATTAAAATGTGGTTGATTTCCCTGACCTGAATGGATTACTACCTGTGCTAGTTACTCATTTAAGTGATTTTAAAAACATGGTATGTTTGCAGGATCCTGCTTCAGTTTTAAGTTTGAAGTATAAGAAATTAGCATACTTGCAGTATTGCTTTTTTAACTAAGACATTATATCTCTCTAGTTTAAAAAAAGTTAAAGTATTTGTGTCTTACATAGCTTAAGTGTAGATATAACTCTGAAACTTCTTACTATTTTCTTCCAGTTATTTTCTTCATATACTGTATTAGTGTACTAGGATTATTGTAGTACTAATAAAATCTAACAAGATTCAGGTCTAACACAATGATAAATAAATGGAATTTATGTTTTCAGGGAAGATGGTACCACCGGAAGCAAGCAGTAAAGGAATTGCATGGTACGTTGTTACGACTGCTTAATGAACTGTTACCATGGGAACCAAAGCTAATTAAAGCATTTCAAAGAAACAGGTAATTAGCTGCTTTTTTTTCTAACAGTGGTGCATGAGATGAAACATGGAAAAAAATTCACCTTTTAAAACTAATCAATGAATTGGCTTATCTCAAAAAGTTAAATGAAAATACTTCGAGGAGAGGCGTGAGGCGCTGGTAGTACTTTAATTGAAAGACGTATTTTATATTCCAGACCTATCATCTTTAAATAAAGTTGAGTTTGCCCTCTAAAGGCTTTTCATCTAAAATGTTCTAGAAACCCTAAGCATGCCTGTAAATAGTCTATTACAATACAGCTAGGATTTGTACTGCTGCTTATTTGGTTAAGAGAGGCTGAAAACCTTTCTCTAGAAAACTATACCAGGGCTTCTTAGAATACTCCGACTGCTTCCTAAACTTACCTAAATTGGCTGTTAATGAATTCTCCACAGAGCAATTGTTGAAGCATTGTTTGGAGGTCTTGGTAACCCTGTAAATTAGAAATGCATCTGGAATGAGGCATGTCAGAGTGGCAGATTTAAATCTAATAAGGGCAAGAAGTAATAGTGAAGATGCTATCCTGATTATAAATCATGGAGAGATTAGGTATTGTCTTTAAGCTTGGTGCTGTTCTTGTTTGTCAGCCATATAGCTGTTGCTATAGTCAGACCTTATTTTTGCCACATAGACAGTTAAAAAGCAAATAATGATTAAAAGCTTGAACTCTGTGACAAAGGATAGCAAAAGTTAGGCAGCTGCTTAAATGTTGAGTGTAAACTTACAGCTATGTGGTGCAAAACTAATGCTGAAAAGTATAAAAGGTATTATGCTTAAAAAACCACAACAACATAATACTAAAGACAGTAAACAGCTAGAAATACTAAGATTTTGGTTCCTTAGTAGCTCATTTAATGGATATCATGGATGAACTAAAATTCTTATTTGGAAATTTAGGATATTGTTGAGCATTTTGCTTTAAACAATCAACCCAAGTACAAGTTTTGGGTTTTTTCTATTCATTTCTATTCACATTTCTGTTCATTTCCTTAGCTGTTCATTTCTCCCTGTTTTTTTTTGCAATTTAGACTCCTTCTGGAAATAAGGCAGATAGCATTACTATTAGGAAGGATTTAATTTTCCAGTACATGGGGTTTCCAGTTTTATCTTTTTTGTAAATTCTGGTGTGGAATGGTTTGATGCCCAGTATTAGTTCTTGTTTAGTGAATCACAGAATCTTAGAATGGTTTGGGTTGCAAGGGACCTTAAAAATCATCTAGTTCCCCTGCCATGGGGGAGCTCACAGTCCCATCCAACCTGGTCTTGAACACTTTCAGGGATGGGGTATCCACAGCTTCTTTGGGCAACCTGCTCCAGTGCCTCATGAGCCTCACACTACAGAATTTCTTCCTAATATCCAATCTATGCCTACTCTCTTTCAGTTTGAAACTATTCCCTGTCACTACATGCTCTTGTAAAAAGTCTCTCTCCATCTTTCCTGTAGGCTTCTCTCAGGTCCTGGAAGGCTGCAGTTAGGTCACCCCAAAGCCGCCTTTTTTCCAGGCTGAACAATCCCAATCCTCGTAGTCTTTCCTCATAAGAGAGGTGCTTTAATCCTCTAATCATCTTGGTGGCCTCCTCTGGACTTGCTCCAACAGGTCGATGTCCTTCCTGTGCTGAGGACCCTGGAACTGGATGCAGCACTCCAGGTGGGGTCTCACCAGAGCAGAGCAGAGGGACAGAATCACCTCCCTAGACCTGCTGCCCATGCTGCTTTTAATGCAGCCCAGGATACAATTTTCTTTCTGGGCTTCAAGTACACATTGCTGGATAATGTCCAGCCTCTCATCTACTAGCACCCTCAAGTCCTTCTCCTCAGGACTGCTCTCAGTCCCTTTTCCCCCCAGCCTATATTGATACTGGGGGTTACCCCAACCCAGGTGCAGCACTTTGCACTTAGTCTTTTTAAAATCTCATGAGATTCCCATGGACCCACTTCTCAAGCTTGTCCATGTCCCTCTGGATGGCATCCTGTCCTTGAGGTATGGCAATCACACCCTTCAGCTTGGTGTCTTCTGCAAATTTACTGAGGGCACAATCAATCCCTTCTATGTCATTAATGAAGATTTAAATAACACTGGGCCCAGTGTGGACCCGTGAGAAACACTACTGGTCACTGATGTTCATCAGGACTCTGAGCCATTGACCACTACCCTCTGGATGCCACTGTCCAACCACTTTCTTATCCACCTAACAATCCACTCCTCAAACCTCTCTCTCTCTCCAATTTACAGAGAAGGATGTTGTGGAGGATCATGTCAAGGGCTTTACAGAATTCCATATGAATGACATCTATAGCCCTTCTCTTATCCGCTGCTGTAGTCATTCTGTTTTAGAAAGCCACTCGGTTGGTCAAGCAGGACTTGCCGCTGGTGAAGCTGTGCTGGTTGTTCCAAATCACCTCCCTGTCCTTCAAGTGCCTTAGCAGAGCTTCTAGTAGGGTCTGTGCAATGATGATTCCAGGCACAGAAGGGAAGCTGACAGGTCAGTAGTTCCCCGAGTCCTCCTTTCAACCTTTTTAAAGATGGGTACAATGTTTCCCCTTTTCCAGTCATCTAGGACTTCAGCTAATTGCTATGATACTTTTCAAGTATCATGGAGAGTGTTTCGGCAACTAAATCAGCCAGTTCCCTCAGGACTCTGAGGTGCATCTCCTTGGGTCCCACAGACTTCTGTACATTCAGATTCTTCAGGTGGTCATGAATCTGATCTTTGCTTACAGTGGAAGGGACTTTGCTCCCTCAGTCCCCTTCCTGCTGTCCATCCACTCAGGAGGTGGGGGAAGAGAGTCAGCCATTGAAGGCTGAGGCAAAAAGTTGTTGAATACCTCAGCCTTCTCAATTCTGCAGTTTTTCAGCCTTGTTTATCGGAGGGGGTACACCTCCTTTGACCTTCCTTTTCCGGTTAACATATCTGTAGAAGCCCTTCCCGTTATTCTTTATGTCCCTTGCCACATTCAGTTCCAGATTTGTCTTGGCCTTCCTCACCCATTCCTAAAGAACCAAGCTTCATCTCTATTCTCTTCCCAGAGTACCTGTTCCTGTTTCCACTACCTGTGCATTTCCTTCTTGCCTTTCAGTCTGACCACCAGTTCCCAACTCACCCATGCTGGTCTCTTGCCTTCCTTGCCTGCTCTTGTGCTCTATGAAAGACTTCCTTAAAGATCTACCACCTCTGATCTGCTCCCTTGTCCCTGAGGGCAAGGACAGTTTCCTAAGTGATCCTGTTGACTATCTCCTTGAAGAGCTGGAACTTTGCTTTCCATAAGTTCGGGGCCTAACTTTACCTGACCCATATCCCTCAGGACTGCAAATTCCACTGATGCATGATCTCTACAGCCCAGGTCTTGATGTCACAGATTAGCTCATTTATTTGGTGCCCATCATGTCCAGTATCACATCCTCTCTGGTAGGGCTGCTGTCACAAGAGCCTGCGGGCACGATGCCTCCTGTAGCTGGAGCAGGAAAGCTTTGTTAATAGGCTCCCCTTGATCAGGGACCTGTAATAAAAAACAGCCACAAGGTTCCCTTTGTTGCCTTGATCTCTGATTCTTACCCACAGGCTTTCAACCTGCTGGTGGCTGTTTTTCAGAGACAGCTCTTCACACTCAAACCACCTCTTGATGTAGAGAGCAGCCCCTCTGCCTCTCCTTCCTCCCCTGTCTCTTCTGAACAGCCTATAGCCATTGATAGTCTCACTCCAGTCATGTCCCAAGTTTCAGTAAGGCAACAAGACCATAGCTTTCCAGCAGCACAGTGGCTTCCATCTCCTCCTGTTTGTTGCCCATGCTTTGTTGATGTGGCTATAGAATACAGAACTGTCATTTAAAGTGTGTTCCAGTGCTATATATGAACTGTGACTGATAGGAGTAAATTTTAGTCTGGAACTGGATGGTTGAGACCTTACAAGTATATGTGCTGATAGCTAGAGAAGCATGCACTTAGAGTGCAAGATAACTTCTGGGATTAATTAATTCATATTTCTTAGTATTTATATTTTAGGTTGTAACCCTAGTTTATTCTACGATGCTGAGTATTTCCATGACATAACTGTTTGGACATACACACAGTATACCAGGGAACAGCTCCATCTGAAAAACAATGTTTCTAAATCATGTGGAGGAAAGAAAGATGGGTGGAGGATTCTAGGTCAGTGTCTTGATCTGGTTCATCATGCAGCTTCTAGGGAGCTCTATAGCACCAGTGACAGTGATGAAGAAAGGTATCATGTCAAAGGGAAAAAGCAATTGAGTAAAATTTGCTTATGGTGGTGTAAACATCAGTACCACAAGTCTCACTGTCGTTGCTGTGTCTATAGGGTATCTCAGTGAGCTACTAACGTCTACTAACTGAACAACAGTTCTGAACTTCTGAGTTGTGGAGGGCTGGGCAGAGCTCCTTCCTTCTTATACCACACTATGGAATAAGGGTCTGGAGTTTTCCTTCCTTCCTTTTTTATTGTCTTTAACTAGTAGGAGCACACTTATGATCAAAATTGTTTTCTTTCCCTTCTGAAAGATCCTCTGGTCTTTTCAAAATTATGACAGAGAATAATGTTGAATGGTATTTGAATAGCAGCAAGGTTTAAAACTAAAAGTTACTTGTGCCCACTGATTACAGTGGTTCACTGACCCCATAGCAGAAGTTCCTCAAAAAAAAAAAGGGAATTCCATCCAGAAGCTTTAATGCAGTAGTGGTTCCCTGGTATCCTTCTATAGTTCTTCCACACCTAGACTCCAAGCTCAAAACCCTAATGACAGAGTTGAAGTATTGTCCACACTGCGTCTTCATACAGGCTTCAATGTTGTCTTTTCTTAGTGAGAGTGCCAAAGCTATGAGTAAACAGTTAGGTCCCACTGGCCCTTAGCAGCCCCACGTGGCCCTTCATCCACACCACCTGTCCATGGTCCCAGGATCCCCATTTCAGGTCATTCTGCAACCTTCAATCTCTGCCAGTTTCTGTGCCAGTTTCCAGCTCAACTACGTCAGTTACTGTGCCTGGCCATGGGTTTTGCTGATCTGGACTGACTCTCAGACTGACCTACTTGCATCATCACTGTAGAACTGCCCAGAAATCATTCAACTGTCACTGGACCTGGTCCTAATCTGAATCTTTGAATTGATTACCCGGCCTGACCTCAGACCTGCCTCAGCACCAGGAACTTGCTGTTGGTCTGGGCTCTTGGTTGAACTCAATTACCCCTAGGCCTGCCCTGCTTCCTCATTCAGGGGCAGGTATGCTGGCTGGTGATGCTCGTGCCCTGTGAGCTGTGACATCATACTTGGCTCATCCCTCTCCACCTCTTAGAGAGCTGCTGGCCATTGCTGCACTCAGTGTAAGCAACTGTTATTTTAATGCAAAAGAATGGGTAAATTTAAGATCTTATTCATACTGTCATAAGGGTTAGGTCCAGAATAGAGCCTAGCTTCTATTCCACACAAGGTGCTAATTGCTATAATTTATTTATTCATTTGCTAAATAATCCTCCTGGGTATTGTGTTGGTAATCACCAGCTGAATCCTGAAGCTCATTGTATTTGTACACTAAAATAGCCACTAGATCATATCTAAACAATGGTTTAGAAGAAGGGACAGTGGAAACGTAACAGTTTAGCACTATCAAGGTAAGTGGATATGTTTCTGAATGGTGTTCAAATGAGTAAAGTAGCTATGTATTTCTGTCATGTACCTATTCTTTAGTGGAGTGTGAACCTATGGAAGTGGTAGAAACAGCTGTTCTAATGGCACAGAGATAAGAAAATGTTCTCTAAAGAGAAAGTTACATTACAGTCCCATAGCTGGGCCAACAGCATGAAGCATTTAAGAAAAACAAGATTTACTTACTTCTCTAGCTGAGGTTGCTGTCAGAGGAAGGAGTAGGCTTGTTACAGTTAATACTCAAGTCCATATAGGTATTTTGGTCAAAATGCAAGGCCAAGGAAGAAACAGAAGATGGATGCAATAAAATAGTGATGATCATATTTGACTCAGTGTTTTTGCTTATTGTTAGAGAACTTAATGACATAGAATTCAGTTTTGGTAAAGGAAAGGACCTTACTGTCACTTCAGATTTTCCGGGTTTCAGAGACTTGCAGACAGAGCTACACTGAAATTTTTTGAGGGGCACAGGCAATTAAATCTATACCAACTTTTTGTATGGCAGCAAATAGAAATAAAAATAATGTTTAAAACCGTTTGGTTTTTTAGTAAAGTTAGTTTTGTTATTTTTAAGGTCTAGATTGAAGAAGGACTATGATGACTTTAAAAGACATCCAGACCATGATAAATTTACCAGAGAATTGTGGAGTAATGATGAAAGTGAAGTTGATTCTGGCAAAGAATCTTTTGCAGTAGTATGCGGTAAATCATCAGAGTCTCCAGAACATACAGAAGTTCCCAAAAAAGATCACTCAAGCAATGGTAAGCATTTACTGGAATTCAGGAGCTTGAACTTGATTCAGGAGCTGAATCAAGGTGATTTGGGAACTTAATTTTTCCATGTGAGCTTGTGTCCTGCTTTTTACCTTAACTACTACTGTGATAATACCAAAAGAGCTTGTGGTGTGCGTCTGTCATATGTAGACTTGAAGAGGGCAGACATGACCAAGATTAAAATTCTGCTTTATTCAAGTGTTTGCCATTTCTTTTTGTGCTTAACTATTTCTGTGATAACATGGTAGACTTGTGTGATATTTACTTTTATGGTGGGTTGACCTTGGCTGGCTGCCATATGCCCACCCAGCCCCTCTGTCACCCCTCTTCCTTAATGGGACAGGGAGAGAAAACAATGTAGAAACGCTCAAGGGTCAAGATACAGACAACTCACCAGTTACTGTCACAGGCAAAACAGACTCACTTGGGGAGAATTAATTTCATTTATTGCCAATTAAAAATAGAGTAGGATGGTGAAAACCAAATACAAAAGCTAAACCTACCCCCCCTTTCCCATTTCCACCTTCTTCCCAGACTCATCTTCATTCCCAATTCTTTCAGCTCCTTCCCTGTCAAGTGGTAGAGGAGGGATCAGGGCTGGGGATTGTGGTCAGTTCATAAGAGTTAGTCTCTGCTGTTCCTTCCTCCCCTCTGCTCCAGTGTGGAGTCCCTCCTATGGGATACAGTCCTTCACAAACTGCTCCAATGTGGGTCCTCTACACAGACTAGAGTCTTTCAGGATAAGACTGTACCTGTGTAGGTCCCCCATAAGCCACAGTTCCTGTCAGGAGCCTACTCCAGTGTGGGCTCTTCATGGGCTGCAGCTTCTTTCAAGTCATATTCACCTGCTGTAGAATGGCATCCTCCACAGCCTGCAGTGTGCATACCTGTTCCAGCATGGTCCTTCATGGGAGCCGGTCAACCTGCTTGATCATGGGTTGCAGGGGAATCCATTCCTGAAGCACTTCTTTCCCCTCCTTCACTGACCTTGGTGTCTACAGGGTTGTTTTTCCTACATTTTGTCCTCACTGTGCTCTGTCACACCCTTCTGCGAAGAATTTTCCATGGGACATCACCAGCTTGGCAGACAGGCTTGACCACGTCCTGCAGTGGATCTGTTTTGGAGCCAGCTATGTCTGGCACAGGGCAACTCCTGGCCTCTGTCCTCATAGAGGCCTCCCTGCTGCCCCACACTGCCAAAACCTCAATGCATGGCCCCTCTGTCCGCCTGGCACCCCTGCCTGCATCCTCAGCCCTCTTATCCACTTCATGCATCCCCTACTCACGGTCCGGTCTAGCTTGATGCTCAGTATGAAACTGGACATTCACATCTTTGTCCCACAGGCACCCCACCCTCACAAGTCCACCTGTTCTGCCAGCCCAGACCTCAGACCTTCCTGCTCACCTGCTAGTCTGGCTTGAAGTTTAGCAGTGAATACACACACACTGCCCCCACACATACTGGATTTGGGGAGGATACAGACATTCGCCCTGCAGCAGATTGCACCAGGCAGACAGGCTGTGATCTCTTGCAGCCATCCTTGCAGCTCCCCCTTCCTCTGCACATCCCTTCATGGATTTGTATAGCTCTACCAATTTCCTCACCCCTCCCAGCCCAGTCTCCAAGATCTCCCCTGGTTTATAATCATATCAGGTGCAAAGTCCAGGTTGATCTTCCTGCAAGGGGTGTATGCAGTTTCTTTATAGCTCATCAATCAGTGTGATTGGTGAGGCTGTTTCTTGTCATTGTCTCCATTTTTATTTTGTTAGATCTGTGTCTCTATATATCTTTTTTTCCTGGCTTCTCCCCTTTTCCCCTCAAAGTAACCTTGCTGGAATAAACATTCTTACATTCTCACATTCTCACATGCCATTAACAATTAATGAGAATTACCAGGTTTGGTTTTCCTCACTGTCTCCCACTGCTGTTTTTGTTTATTACTTCCTCCTTTCCTCATTACCCACTTTTTTCATTGAAAAAGATCCTTGACCAGATGCCCTTAAAGAAGCAGACATTTCCTCCATGTACTCTTGCAAATATTGCCTTTAGCTAGACACTATGAAATTGTTTCGGTTTCAAACATGTAAAATGCAGTTTCTGTTTTAATATCCTTGCAGATGAAATGAAACTATTAGAGATGAATTTACCTGCAGGAAAAAACAGAATTCTGAAAAAAGAATCAGCTTCTAAAGAAATCCAGAAGACACTGCCCAAATGCATTAAACGACAGTTCAAGCAAAATAGTTGTCTGGATCAAAGCACTAATGAGCTCTCACCAAGGAAGAAAGCTAAGCTGAGCACTGTTGAGGCTGTGGTCCAGAGTTCAGAAAGTAGCCTGCAGCCGGATAGTTGTTTAACTGAGCTAAAACAATTTGAAGGGTCAAGTTTAGAGTTGTTTTCCTTGACAGATCCTACAACATCAGTATCAAACTTTCTGAAAGGGACCAAACCCATCCAGGCCTTGCTTGCCAAGAATACTGGGAACAAAGTGACCTTAACAAATCAACCATCGCCTCCCCCAGGCATAAATGTATCAACTTCTGAAAAGTCAGTTTTACCACCTTTGGAATCATCAGTGATCAAACCAGCATTGCCCTGCCAGGCCAGTTCAAAGACTCCCTTACAAATGGTATACAAAATGCCAAATGGTCATTGTGTACCAATAGACCTTCATAACAACTCAGTGAAAATTCAAATGCAAACTGTGACTGACCCTAAAACTGGAGAAAAAGTCATGCAACAAGTTCTTATTTTACCTAAGAATTTTCTTCTTCAGCAGCAGGAAGGAAAAATTGTGTCCAAGGACGTTCAGCCACTACAACAAAAATCGTCTGAGCTGCACTGTACATCTTTACCAAAAGTGTCAAATATCAGTGTTTCTTTAACATCTGTTCTGGTGACAGGCTCTGCAAATACTACCACTCAGTCACCTACTACGATTTTTAGCAAGAATATTACCCACTCGTCACAAGTGTCTAGTCCCATGAACACTACACTATCATTGCCTGATGTAACTTCAGCAGGTAACTTACTATCATCAAAAATTAAGGTGAACCAAACTGAAACTGACAAAATCAAGACTACAGTTTTGACTGCTACATTCCCTGTGTCTTTGACTTCATCTACTCTTTCCACAGCTAGCCAGTCCTTGATACCAGCAACAGCTTTAAGTGGGTCTGCGAACACTGATTCTGCCTGTCATAGTCTTGCATCGCAGCAGCCAACTGACTCCTGTGAAACTAGGCAAGAGTTGAAGACTGTATGTGTAAGAGAATCACAATCTATTCTGGTCACAACACGAGGCGGAAACACAGGCATTGTTAAAGTGCAAACAAACCCAGACCAGATTTCACCTAGTAGTTTATCTTCTAGTTCAGTTTTCACTTACACTTCTCAACTTCAGGCCTTTCTTGTGCCAAAAACCACAGCATTAACATGCTCTACTCTTCCATCTCTAGCAACAGCTACGTCTGGTTTCCCACATATTGGACAATCATCTCTTTCTGGATTTGCCCCCTCAACAGCTTCTTCTGTTAACATTCCAGCTTTCCCCGCTGATTTTAACCAGGCAATGGAGAAAAATATCAAATTCACACTACAGCAGCCTCCTGTTGGGGACACTTTAGGTCAAGTAATAGAGAACTCCTGCTATGTGTCCTCTCCTTTATCTTCCATTTCATTAGCTAGCAATGTGATGTCCACAACTCCAAACAGTCCTGTTAGTGTGACTAGCACTGGACAAAATAATGCTGTCGTAACTCCAAACTCTTCTGTACAGCATCAAGGGGATACTAAAACCAAAACAAATTCTGTTATACAGTCTGAGTCTAATTCAGCAACAAGTGGAGATTTAGTCAGTGGTACTCCAGTCCAGAAATTTACATTAGTTACAAATTCACCAATTTTATCTCCCTCTGGAGCATCAGGAGTCAGTATTATACCCTCTCCAGCATCCACTGCTGTTAATGCTCAGAAGCTGGTTTTTGTTAACCCACAAATTGCCAGTGGCCCATCAACCACCAATCTAGTTGCAGAGTCATTGAGACAGAACCTTCCTTCTTCCCTAACCAAAACCTTTGTTAATTCCACAGAGCAACCACATTTGGTTTTGATCCCATCTACAATAGGAGCACCAATAAGAATAAATTCATCACCAACTATTGCTCAAGTAAAAGATGTAAAAATTGGACTAAATATAGGTCAGACCATTGTAAATACTAAAGGCAATGCACAGGAGGCCCCACCAGTTAATATGTTGCACTCTACCATTTCTAAAGGAGAAGACAAAAAGAGCATTGGCTTGGCGCTGTCTTTGACAAGTAGCAGTACTGTGGTTCCTGCTCCAGCTTTTGCTGTGTCATCTAATGAATCTGTATGTGTTGCAACAAAAGCTGAAAATGCCTTTACAGTAACAACAGCAAATGCATGTGTAGAATCTGTTTCAGTAGCATCAAGTGGGACTTCTTCTGGGACACGGCCCACTGTCTTGACTGGCAGCAGTGATCCCTCAAGAATAAGGCCAGTTCTGGGTAATCGACTTTGTGCATCAAATATTGGAAATATGGGTATATCGACTGTGAAAACAGGGCATCTTGCTTCATCTGTGCTGATTTCAACCACACAACCAACAGTATCTCCTCAAAACTTACCATCTGCTTTGCAATTTCCATTCATTAGCTTGCCTGGATCTGCAGCCGCCCCCAAAAAGGTGTTACATACAGTTCCTCAGTTAGCAACAGTTCCAGCTCCTCTTCCAGTATCGAAAAGCCAGTTGCCCACACTGCTTCAGTTTCAGTCATCAGGAACTTCAGCTGGTATGTCAAGTCACACAGGTATTCACAAACCTCAGAGTGTGTTGCCCTCTCTGTCACCAAATACAGGTAAAGTCATTAGCTTTCCCAGTTCCTCTGCCCTACAATGCCAGCAGATGCCTCTCAGTACAGAGAAACAAAGTCATGATTACACTTGTGCTTCTACTGCTCAGATGTCTGCAGCTTCACCAGCTGTAACAAGCAAAACCGGAGGAGGTCAGTTGAATGAATCTTGCATTCAACAGAAAATAGTCATTAACACCTGTATGCCTTTGGCACCTGGAACTCAGATAATGATTAATGGTACTCGTTTTGTTGTTCCACTGCAAGGCCTTGGAGCTGGCAGCCACGTTTTTCTTCTCTCCCGTAATACGAAACAGACTCCTTTAACTGTTAACCATAGTCAAGAGGCTCAAGGTGTACCAATTGTTAATCCAATAACCTCAAAAATCATCTTAGCACCAAGTAATTCATTAAGTTGTCAAATATCAAAACATCCTTTGAAAAGCTCCACGAAAATTATGAATTCTTTTGGTGCTGCAGATGCTTTACCCATTGTAAATGTAACACCCCAGATATTTAGTACTCCAGCTAGCTCATGTAGTCCACTGTCTGGGGTAACACTGTCTGTGTCTTCAGTGACAAAATCTCCTATTAATGTTGTAGCTACATCTTCTGTTGTTTCTACCGTTCATCCTCCGAATTCTCATTTGCCAAGCAACACTTCAGTGTTTCACTTAGACACTTCTATCAAAAAACTGTTGGTCAGTCCAGAGGGAGCCATTTTGAATGCTCTAAATGCTCCAGCACCAAAAGTTTCTTCTCTGTCTTCATTGCTGCCTCCTGTTGTTGTGTCCACAAGCAGAAATCCTACCACTGTCTTCCCTGCATCTCAGTCATCTTGCCTTGATAAACCTGACAAAGCTGCATCCTGAATTTACTGCAAGTGAGCCACTTTGAAATTTTGGGGCATTCCTGAGACTTTGGAAGTTGTAACTATTGGATAATTTCTTACAATGTATGAACCAGTTGATTTACTCAACATTACTTAAGGTTGTAGTTCTTTCCTGTTCACCTGTGGGGATTAAGAGGAAGAAAAATTTTAGTTTCTTAGAAGTTTTCAGAGAGTTCTTTAGTAAAAAGGTCAGAAATGACCAATGAGTTCATTAAACAGTTTGGAGAAATCTCACCTTTTGCACATGTTCCATCTTACATTATGGACTGTTTGCCAGTGTGTTTTTGACAGTATATGTCTTCTTTTATTTGTCAAATTTATTTTTGATCTGTTTCTTTAAGGAAAATACTTATGCATTGTAAAAATGCAATCTATAGTGTAGAATTGTACATATTCCTGAATTCCTAACAGTCCATACTAAACAATATGTACAAAGAACTATGCTGTCTTATTTATGTTTGGTTTACATAGTGTATAGTTTTTTAAGTATTTTAGTAACTTTTGACCAGTGTACTGTTTAGCAACTGCAGAAGAATCTGCATATAATAAATCAAGTTGCTTTACTGCTTTGTGTTGGCAATAGTTAAAAATATGTGTATCTGTTACACCGTGGCAGAATACATACATACATACATACATACATACATACATACGTGTATATATATATGTATATATATGTGTGTATATATATGTATGTATGTGTGTATACACACATCTTTCTTTTGGTGTGTGATAGAATGAAATTATTTAACCTCTTCTGCTTTTCTCTACTTTTACATGTCACATGATTTAGCAGGAGTTGGAAGGAAGGCCTTCTTGTTGATCCTCGTGACACAGGGCGGGATAACCCATACTTCATCTGTTCTTAATAAATGTTTGGTTATATTGTCTAAATAACTCCAGTGATGTGGTAAGGCTACAAGTGGCTTTTCAGACACCAGTCTAAGTCACACTGGTTGCTGTTAAAGACTAACATGTTTTGTCTTAAAGCTCATAGATCTGTTGAACAGTTCATTATTCTTTTTTTACAACCTTGTATGCATTTCCATATGTCTGATGACTGTAACAAGGTCACTCGTTAGTCTTCTATCTAGCCATAACAAACAACCCATTTTTTTTCACCAGTCATACTTTCTAGGTCTGTATATTTTTCTTTAGCTTATAATTGGTCTATCTTGAAGGATAGCACTAAAGCATCACATAATATTAAAGGAAGCTTTATTAGTGCTTTGGGGATAATAATATGTTACAGAAACCTTCCTTTTTTATGCAGTGTATTCAGTATTTGTTGACTTAGTTTCAGCTTTTGGTCTGATAAAACCTTTGGGTTATTTTCTGCAGATCTGCTGAGTTCACAGCTGCTTGCTGCAGTGCTCGTGGAGATAAGGTTTTAGGTATCTTTTCAGATTTTGCATATAAAGAAAGGATGCCCGTCTTATTTTATGGAAGATGATGATTTTAGAATTGCTATCTTTGTATGTGTTGATTTTTTGTAGAGTTTGTTTGGTATTTTTTAGAAACTAGAAGGGAAGATTTCAGAAGAACTTAAAAATGATAATTGCCTTTTTAATAGCTATGACTTCAAAGGGGATAAAAGCTTACATATCTGTATAGACTGTATAGACTGAGTTTCAACAAGATGAAGCTTTGGCCTTTGCTCTTCATCCTTTTGAATTTTCTACTTCCCTTCCCCTTTTGCTATACTAGTTTGGCAGTTTGGATGTTGAGTTGAAGAATAGGACCACAGCTTACTCGCTCTGTGTCGGCTGCCCTTTGTATTGTTCTGCAAAGTAACCTGGTAGCTAGTTTGCTAGAGTTCTGGGAAAGTGGGAGGAAGAAAGGCTTGTGCCTTCCATAGGGACCTTTCCTTTTGCACTAACTTAAAAAATTGCATTGGGAAATTGCATCTTTCCATCTTATCTCGGGGCTGGGAAAGAAGGAGGCTGTCAGTTTTGGGATTAGAGAAGGTTTGTTTAAATTTTAGGAAAAGCTACCTGCTACATCTTTGCTACTTCTCATTAAAGGTATTTTGTAATGGATTTTGAAAACACCTAGCAGTAAGTATGTCTGTCCATCAGAGTTCACAGTATTAAGAATTTTTAAATCTGACTGCATATTACAGTTGAATGCTGCAGTCACTTTTCCAACAGAGGAAGATGGCAGAGAGTGGCAGTTTCTTCATGGACATTTTACATACTCTAAAACCATATATACCAGAAGCTCATTCTATTTCCATTTCACTAATGGAACCATGGGACTCACTTTCTTGTATTTTTCCTCTTTTCTTGCAATGACTGTTTTTTCTTTTTTTTTTTTTTTTGTTTTGTTTATTTAGGTTTGTTGTAGAGTGAATGTCTACACCATTTGAAAAGCTCAAGACTAGGTTCTGCTGTTGCAGATAATCTTGATGAGAGAAAAAAAATATTGCATGACATTTTTCTGCGTGCTGATGTAGTAGAAAGATTTATGCTATAATTGATTCTAATAAAGAGAGAAGTTAGAAAAGCTGAACTGAAAAACTCAGGACTCAAGTAACTTGCCTGAATAATTTCCAAGAAATTTTCTGAATTAATATGATAATATTCTATGATTTTTATAAATATTGTATAATTTGGAAGACATGTACTGTACAACATGAAAAGTTCGAGTCAGTTTAATTGGAGTTTTCATGGACTTTTATTCTCTACTAGACATGTGTTCAGATTCCAAGTCCTATTGGAGGAGGACTTGAGACTGCTATGTAATAGGCTTGCATCATTCATTATGTAAAACCAAATTTTAGTAATTTTTGCGAATAAAATTCCTATTCCCAACACTGTTCTCCAATAATATAAATGTCAGTCAGAGATAAGGTTTTCTTTCAAATGCAGGTAAATAACCATTGACACTTTGCTATGTACCTTTTACTCTCTACCAAATGTATAGTGCTACTTACAGCACAAACAAGTGCTACTTACAGCACTTGTATAAACAAGTGGATTATATTCACAGACACAATGAAAAAGCAGAACTACCTGCATCTTTACTTGAAGTGAAAAAGATAGTTACACATAAAAACAGATATATAAATCAGCCTTTTAACAAAAGGTGTTCAACTTTTCAGTGCTTGTAAAATGCCTTACTTTTAGATCCCTTTTGATATTATATACAGCTATTCATACACTATATTATATACAAAACTTTGGATTTATAAATTACTTTTAATATTTTGAGTTATATCCTTTATATTTGCCTGAATTAACATGTTCTGTACAATAATTTTGGTTTGCTCTGAGTGGAAAATTACACTTATTTTGCTTCACTGTTCAAACCCGCACCTGTGAGCTGCCATTTTCTCCTAGGGATTCTGCCCCTACCACACTAGGAACAGTTAAATTTCGCGTGTATTAGTTGTTACAAAAGTATCTGTTCAAACCAAGTGTGTTACTGTCAAGTCATTCAAACCCGTGCTGATTCACTGTGTGACATAGCAAAGGGTACAATGTGAAAAGGAAAGCAAAAATTCTCCTGATAAGTGAAGAGAAAATAATTTGTCTCATGGGAGTAGGTCAGAAAATTACTAAAAGCTAGCATTTGAAGGGCATCCATAGCCTTGCCACAGAGTTAGTTTCATGGTTGGTTTTCCTTCTATTTTGTGGTAGTGCAGAATTTTAATTGCCCAAAATGGTTTTAAATTAATTAATCATTTTTATTAAAGCACAAATGTTTGTTATGATGAAACTCTTTCCTTTAAAAAGAACAGCCAGAGGTGCTCAAAAGGACTCAAACTCATGTAGCCTGTTGTCTGTAAGCTGCACCTGAAGAGAGTTAACTGACTCAAAGCAAGATTAATAATGCTGCATCAGACTTTAGGTCCATCATGTCTCTTGAGGCAGTCAATAGTAGCATTCCAAAAGAGCACAATAACAGGCCTGAATAATCTTCTAGTATCCACTCATCTGTGAGCCAGTCTTCCTCATGCAGCTGTGTTTTTCTTCAATTTAATAGCTTTCAATGTATTTCTCTTGATGAAATGGACCAATCCTTTCTAGAATTTTTGAAAGCATGCAAACAAACTGTTACCATCCACAGAATCCAGTGGTAAAGAATTTGTAAATAAATTTCCTTTTTGGTTTCGGAACCTGGCACCTGCTAGTTTCATTTGATGCAAATAATATTTATATTGTAAGATGCAATAAGCCTTTGCTGTTTAGTCATTTTTCCATGTGGCCTATGTAGACCTTTGCCATGTTGGTTGTCTCTTCTCTAGAATAAAGAGAAATAGTGAATTCAGTTATTTCCTATATGGAAGTAATTAGTTGCTGTCATTGTGTGTGCCTTTTTCAGTTTTACTGTGTCCTTGTGGGATCAGAAGAGTGTATGTTCTAAAAGCACTGAATCTATTCAGCAGTGTGTTTATGTGTCTCATAATTATTTCAATGTTTGTGAGTTGGTTTCTGACTATTATTTAGCCTTGTACTAACTTTTTCATAGAAATATTAATTTTAAACCAAATACACATCAGTATCAAATTTATTTCATCCTATAAAACTATACCACTTGCAGAATATCGTGGCTGTAAAGATATGGTCTTTAAACCAGGCTGTTGAAACCAGTGCAAGTCTGACACTCTCCAAGTTCCTGTTTTTGCTTGGTTTAGTTCTCTTGAAAATGTAAAAGGACAAGCAAAATTATTTTGATGATGATTTTTTAATTGTCATTATTTTTATGCATAGAATGCAAGGATAGGTCTGTATATTAGGTGCATGGTCATTTTATATACATTGACATCCTGATAAAGATTTTTTAGTTGTTGAAGAGAAGAGACCACTTTATAAATGTGATACAGAACATTGTTATTTTAATATATTTTCCTTGAAACCACAGTGGCATAAAAACAAACTTTAAGATCTTGATAGACATGTATTTTCTTCATTTCTCAAAATGTGGAATTGTCTGGTCAATAGACCTGGATGTCTGGCGTAAACTTGGTAACCAGGACACTTCGTTGTTGCATATGTGATTGTTCCAGAAGTTCTTCAGAAAGTTGGTGTTCTTACAACATCTTTTACTACAATCTCAGCTGAACTAAACATGTTAAATGAAAATGGTATGTAAAAGCAGTGTAAAGGAAATGTAATTAATTACTTATAGTATTTCTTGAAATTATGTTTGTTACACAAAAGGTCTATTAAAATATGCATAAATATGATTTTCCACCTTTTGCAGATGAAGGCAATGAAGTACTGAGTTGTCATAGCAACATGGAGGAACTGGGAATAGAATCCTTGGTCCCCTGAACTCCTTCCAGCATCCCATCCATTACTAAAGGTTAGACAACTAGATTACTGCTTTAATTTCCCCTATTTTTGCTTTTTACAAAGAAGAAAAAAATTATTTAGAAAATTAAATTGTTTTCAAGAATGTGAGGGGCATTGATAGATAGCATTTATAGAAATTAAATAGCATGGGAAAGCAAGATAGTAAAGAAACAACTGTGATTTTTGTGATTGTCTTCAGTCTTTAGAACTTTGCTTGTCAATATCGATGTATAAAAAGAAGACAATACACTTCTTTAATTATTCATATTGATTCTGTCTAGTAAATACACAAGTATAAGATCAGAGTACTTTGGCTGTCAATAGGTCATCAGCACCTGGTACCAGCATATATGTTGAGATCCGTCCAGATAATGTGCTGTTATTTGTAGAATCATTCCTCACTCCTTTTTTTTAGTCACATGCAGCAGTGAAATAAAACATTAAAGAGGGATTAGTGACAGGGTATTACTATGTAGCCGCAGGGCGTCTTCCTTGTAATAAAGAAAGAGTGGAATTATGATGGATTCAATTTACACAGTATAAAAAGCAGGTATTTTTACTATTATAATTAATTACTGAGAAGAAGGAATTGCTTACATCTGTTTATAAAAACCCTTGTCAATTCATGTCAGCAAAACACAAATACTAAAATTACAGTAGTTTGAGGCTTGTCTGGCCAGTATTCTATAGTTCATCTACATGCTATGCCTTCAAAATATTGTTCTTCCCTCTAGAGTGCTTTTCTGCACAGTGATCTCAGAAGAACAAAAAGTGGGAGAGGCCTGTCTGGAAGTATTTTCCTCCTTCCATGGCCTAAGAAATTGATGCAAAAGCATAATCTTCTGTTAAAAACCAGCCCATATTTGAAAGTGAGCTTCTTTGGCACATGAAATGCCAGTGATGCATTTCACTACAGCAGTCCGGTCATTGTATGAGTTGCACCTTAAACTGCGCATTTGTCTCACTGTAGTGGCCAGCAGAGAATGCTTATTGGAAAGAAGAAGAACTAATCAAATATGAGTTCATTTTCCCCAGTATGTACACACATCATCCAAAAGTAATTACAGGAGAATTTTTTGAACTCAGCCTGAGCTTGTCTGTGACATGAAAGAGCAGATTTTGCAGCCAAAGAATCAGGTACTGGAGAAAGGTGAGCAGTAATTCAGAGAAGCAGAGCAGAAGAAAAAATTACATAAAAGCATAAAATTGCTTCTCCGGTTTAAGAGGTTGTGGGAGAAGCTAAACAGCAGAAGTTTTGAATGAAAAGTTGACTGAAATATCATTGTTGTCCTTCCTGTTGGTGAGACCAAAATTCAAGAAGTGTACATTATGTGGGCTGCATATTCCGAGGCTTAAAAATGTAAGAAAGATAGGCTTATTAAATCTGGGTCAATACCAAAAATGTTCAGGAAGATTTTTCTGGAGATATAGAAATAGGAGTAATAGGCAGACATCTAATACCTTCTAATCTTTGCAAGGATTCTTCTGCAAAAGATTAATGGTTAGGGGATATTATATTATTATATAATTTACCATACAATTTTGTTGTTTTTCTGCAAATCCTGAAGCAGTTCCAAGTTTTTTCTGAATATGTTTACCAGATGACAATCCTAAAATTCCTCCTGAAAACAACTGCACAAGCAAATCCAGCGCTAAACGGTATCTAAAAAGGGCAGCTGTTTTGCTCCAGAGTGTCAGGAGCAATGAGATGGTTGGGGTGTATATGATGGTGTGCAGAAATAAAAATCAATTACTTCTGCCAAGGTAAGTGGGAAAGGACAAATTGATAGAACTTGGAAGATTAGACCTTTTTATTAGAAGATGCTTTTCAACAAAAATGAGTCCAATCTTTTCCCTAATAGCTACAAGAATGCAGTGGATGGTAATGTAAATTAAAAAAAGAACCAGGAGGAAGGAAGGCTGCTGTGTAAGCAGAGAACATAGCAAACGTGCAGCAGAGCCGTCTGTTTCTCACATCCAGAAATGGAAGTTAGCGAGTTGGAAAGACCTTACAGAATTAGTATTGAAAGACCATAGTATTTATATTAGGCCATCACTCTATGTCTTATACTGATTTGAACTCAACTCGTGTTTGATTTTAAAGGCAAGAAAGTGTACTCTTATGTCACATGAATACATAGATGTACACCAACAAAGTAATGGATATTTTACCAATGTTAGACATAAACATGAATCAAAATACTCTGGCAATGTTATATTTTACTGAAAAATGACAAGCAATATGGCTAATACTAATACAGTGCTTGAGCCAAGATAATATACATACATCCCCAGCTGCAGCAGGAGTTAGGCTGAAGGAGATTGCTGAGGTGAGTGTCACTGGACTATCTACTAACCAGCTGCAAATGCCATTCCTGTTACACTTGACTGGTGAGACTCTAAAGTAAAATAAGTGCTTCCTGTGGAAAGTTCTTGGTACGTTCTTTTTTCATAGCTCTCTGACATATGTGAATTATACCCTTCTGGCTCATGACTCAGTGTTTGCTATATGGTTCGGGATGCCAGGAGGATTCATCAGGACCTGCTGCATTTTACCTTTGTGCAATGTCTGGGATGGCTGACCAATATTCTGGAATCTTTGAAGGCTACACTGGGGCTTGTAACTGCATTAGAAAATAAGACCGTACCAGGAATCCAAACATAAGACAATACAACTGCTAGTACCACTATAATACAGCAATCTGATCAAAACACACTATGTTAATGAGAGGCCTCATTTTGAAAGTGTTCATTGCATCTTTATAAGGGTTGCATGCATAGCTGTGAAGTTGCTAACATCATCATGTACAGAAAAGCTTTCGTAACAGTACATCTGATGGAAGCACTTTAATGCAGACCAGTAGCAAGCAGAGCTTCATTCTCCACCTGTCTTCATCACCATCCTGGGGGAAAACTCAAAATGCCCATGAATTTTTTCATTAGCTTTTTTTGATGGGAGAAAATAAAGCACAAATATTATCTTAGAGTTGATAGTTATTTTGGCTTATAGTTGTAATACAAGGCATCTGATTTCAACCTGATTGCAAAGAGGGTAAAAAAAAGAGGAGCAGAAGGTATTTGACTTTTACACCTTCCCTGTTACATAACAACCATACCAGATAAATTATAAGTCTAAATTTTGGTAAGTAGTTGTTATTCTGGGGTCATATAACTATGTAATGTGAAAAACTTCTCTTGAAATTTGAAAACTCTATGCCACATTTTCCATGTGTCGTTGTTGAGACAATTCTATGCATTTCTCTTTAAGGGAACAGGCTTCCTAGAAGATTTTAACTTGTGTTTGGTAAAGTGCAGTGTTAATTGAGTGTAATACAGAAAATATGTAAAATAGCCAGTTCTTGCAACATGGAGCTTTGGCAACTGCAGGTCTCTTGCTTTCACATTCTGACCTGTCTTGTATTGGTGTTTAGTTAATGGATCAGCAGCCAGACACTGCAGTGTACCATCATTGGGTATAGAGCCAGATTTAAAAAATGAAATTTGCGGTGGTGTTCAGTGATGAAGTTTCCACCTATATAATATAGTGCTCTGTGAACCTCTATTTCATGCTCTTATTTTAATGCACTAATTAAAATCTGAGATCACTGTCTAACTGTGTCTATTAAGAAAGAATACCGCTGTCACAGGGATTAAAAAGGGGAGAACTTTTCTGAAAACCAGAATAGGGCTTATATATCTTTTAAGTATCTATAAATTCATGTCAAAGTGTAATAGTTCTAGCTCTGGCTGCTGAGCAGTTTTAACAATTTGACCTTATGTAGTTCTGGAAATAAATTAGTATTTCTACTTTGTCAGTGTTAACTTCCTTGTGAGCTTTTGCAACAGCTGGTAACACATTTAATACTGACACTACTAAAAATGTGTGGGATCAAGTAAAGCTTTTTGAACTCTAAGCACTTTACTTCTCTATATTATATAATCTCTATGGAAATTAACTTTTTTCTCAGCCATGAATGTGTATGTCAGTTCTATTCCACTGTAGCACCACACAGTCTTTTGAAAGGATGCTGCCTTAGGGTAAAGAGATGCATAGCACAGAGTTGCTAAAGATATTAGCCTCAAGCTTTAGCTTACCAGTTCTGCAAAAAAATTGGTTAGCCATTGTGTTCTACATCTAGTGCTTAGTAGCTATAAGCTGGAATTCTGTATATTTTCCTGTGTATTCTTCTTTCTGTCACTAAACAAGTCCACAATTTTTTTCCTTAAGGTATATATTAGAAATGACACAGGTAAGACAGCTCTTTGGGTTAAAGTACCTCTCTAAGTTTCTAAATAAATATATCAACTTAATGTATAAAACCATGTATATAACCTTTTACTAGAATTACTGATATTTATTACCTTCCAACAATTTTATATAATCTATATAAACATATATTAAATAAATTTTTTTATATATATATGTCTTATATATGCACCTTAAAATAAAAAAAAAGCTTTAAACACAAGGCAGATTTACTTGCCTAACATAAACTCCATATATTAGATACTATATAGATATTAGATATAATAAAAACATTTATCTAATATAACATTTATAAACAATCTATAGAAACATCAAATCTAAATAAACACTTCTATTACAAAAGAAACATTTCAAAAAAGCTGTGTCTTATTACTTATCACCATCTATGGAGTTTATGTTAGGCAAGTAAATCTGCCTTGTGTTTATAACTTTTTTTTGTTTTAAGGTGTTTGTATTTGCATATTTGGTGACAAAGAGCCAGATTCTTTACTAATAGCAGTTAATAATTGCTTTATGAAATTAGTTTTCTTTTGTTACTACTTTTCAGTTTAACAAATGTTGTACAGTTTTAGCTGCCTCCTGCTGTGAGATATCAGGCCTTGTGTAAAAATTTGTTGATCTGCATATCATCTTAAGTAATAATCAATAATAAGCAATAACAAAAGGCTAAGTAAAAAATAATTATCAAATCTGTATAGCTAATTGATTCGCATCACAGTTCTTTGGTTTTTATTACTGCTCGTGTTCTGACAAGGTGGAAAAATTAACATCTTGAAGTCTGTTGTCTTCTGTATTCTTCAGGTAACATGGTTTTCATGCATTTTCTCATATTGTTCCATCATATTAGAAACAGATGATATGTAAAGCTCTATATCTACAAGTTCTCTTGCTCTCTCACAAGACTGCCAGAAGAAAACTAGAGGTGATGTTGTTATACCCATTGACCGGTATGAAATAATATGGTCTCTAAGCAGTATTTTCTTGGTTGCGTGGATTGTGTTTTATAAGGAATTAATATATTTCAGGTACATAAACAGGTGAAGTGGGGTAAAAGCATATTGTAAAACAAAGTTGCTTTTTGGAAATTAATTTTAAAACTGTGGGTAAGGAAAACAGTCTGTAACAGGATATGTAGTCAAATGGGTTTGTTCATTTTGTGACAGATTCTTGTACATCACATTCTAAGGAATAGTTTATTTATATATTTTTTTAAAGGAAGGGAGACTAAATGAGAAAGATGAAAATAAAGGTGCCAGCACTTTTTACTCTTGATTGATACTTAATAATATGTACTTACACTTGGTAGATCTATGAAGGATTCAAGATGCCCAGAGCATGGTGTATTAATCTGATCACAAGAAAGTAAAAGCTTAAACCAAAAGCACATTCAGATTTATTGAGGCATTTCAAAAACCAGGTCTGTAACTAAGCGGTTTCAGCAACTGCTAATGAAAGCATGTGATTTCTTTTTTTCTATGATTTTAGCTGTAAGAAAGTTAAGCATGTACAGGAAATTAAGAGGGAGCATGAAGAGTTTAAAATTTCATGTTATCATGGTGAATAAGGTGGTGGTGACTGATCTGCAGCAATTTTGTCATAAGCTGGTGGAGCATCAGGTACCTATGGTAAGGAAAATGGGTGTGAGAGATTGAAAAAACCAGTTGAGGTACAAGAATATGACATTAAACATGCAGCAAGCTATTTACCACTGTATTAGATACGGTTCAGTGACTTAAAATAGCTAAGCTCATTCATTATGTCTATTTTTTTGCTAGTATGTTTTCTGGTTTTGCGTCAGATTCATTTTGTTGGAACTGTTCATCCAAAGAAAGATTTTTCAGTGTTGTAAAGGCAGGATTTCTTTTTTTTTTTAAGATGGGGTGTTTTTAATTGGTTACTCGGATAAATATTGAAGCTTTTCTGTAAGAGTCTTAATGCAGGCATGTTGTCTTATTTCTAGTGTTAAAAATTTGAGCAGCTTTTTTAAAACTGATTATAAATTAGACTTTTCCCTATTCTAAAGCCATTTAAACACACCCGTTACTTAACATATACTTATCACTCAGTTTAATTTTGACAGTTATAAGTTTGAATGTTCATCTCTCCATAATGATTAGATGAGCTAAAACCTTGAATTTTTGTAACATTCCCTGACAATGGTTGTCAGAGTATAGTAATACTAGACACAGTCCATTTGCTGTTTTTCAGAATGGCAGAAACACCTACTGGAAAGTATTTGGGGTTTTTTCCTTATATTTCAGCATTTGAGTGTTAGATCATTCTAATAGATTGCATAATGACCATACAACTTTAGAATAAATGTAAGGAAAAGAAATGAAATTTTAGACGAAGAATTCTAAATAGTACATTTAAAAAACGCTTTTCACGGTAAAACTTGTTCAAAATAGTACTTTCTAAGTTGATGTAGAGGTGTTGAAGACTATCTAGAGAGCACACCCCAAGGAAGAAATCATTAATTGCCCGTTTACCAATATTGTCTCACCATATCTTACTATGTTTAAGTAAATGAGACCTTGAATTACAACTTACCACAGAATTAAAGTTTCTGTACTCCTGCAGAGCCATTTTGCAGTCCAGTATTGCTCCCTCACCTACCACGTTTCGTGCTGTGCTCACACTAGAGCTTTTGCTCTGTGATCATAAAGAAACATGGGGAAGATGAAAGGAAGAAGAGACTGTGAAGTTGGGGCAAATTATGTGTCAATTAATATTTGATAGCACATTTACAGTATGTATTAGAATCTGGAATTAGGACCAGACACAATGCAAGTAAGCAAGACAGACAATTTACCTATCACTTTTAGCTGTCTCTGCTGAGACATAGTCTTTCTCCTCTGTTATCCAATTACATTGCCAGAAAAATGAACATCACATTTTTTAGGTCCAGGACTACTGCAGGAACTGACATCTTTCTATGTATCTGAATGCCTCCTCATTTTTATCCTACCCATTTCTTTCTTTAATCTCCAAACTTTTTCTTTTCTGTTTTCCCAACATTTCTTTTGTACACATTCTGTACTAGTTCTCCCCTAGCCAAAAAAATCTTAAGAAAGATGTAATTTTCAAAACCAGAAAGTAGCAGTCAGCAATGAGAAGGAATTAAAAAAGAAATTGTGGTTTTTGCCATGATGTACAAAACAGGCATTTGGTTTGATTTTTGAAGGGGTTTTTTTAGTATTACCTTCATTTTTGCAACATCTCACTATGAAACTCCAGGTTTTATGTATTTTACCCATTGATAAATGTATTGGATAGATAACTGGAAAGGGAATGGAACAGAGTTATGGAAAACAGGAAGGAAATGGATTTGCTGACTTAAATGAGAGGTATGCTGGGTTTTTTAACTCCCAAATAGTAATATTTTTTTCAAAATATTAGGATAACTAAAAGATACTAAAAAGATACTAAAACAAAGATCTGGATAAAGCCTGGTGCGGGTACCAGTTGGGGTAGAGTTCATTTTCTTCTTAACAGCTGATACAGTATTGTGTTTTGGATTCATTATGAGAATAATGCTGATAACACAATGATGATTTGGTTGTTGCTCAGTAGCTCTTACTCTAAATCGAGGACTTTTCATTGTCTCATGCACTGACATCGGGTGCACATTAGGTACATGAGAAACTGGGAGAGAGCATGGCTGGGACACCTGAGCTGTACTGGCCAAAGGGATGTTCCACACCACAGAACACCATACCCAGGATATAAATGAGGGAGTTGACTGGAAGGGGCTGAGTGCTGCCAAGGAACGGGATGGGCATCAGTCAGGGAGTGGTGAGAAGCTGTGTTGTGCAACACTTGTTCCTCTTGGGTTTTATTGCTCTCTCTCTCTCTTTCATTATTATGATTAGTAGCAGTAGTAGATTAGTAGATGACGATTATATTTTGTTTCAATTATTGAACTGTTCCTTCTTAACCCACGTTTACCTTTTCTTTCCAATTCTCCTCACCAGGGTGGCAAGGGGAAGTAAGTAAGCGTGGAGCTTAGCTGCTGGCTAGAGTTAAGTCACAACAAGTTTTCACTTTAAAGGATTAAAAAAGACCTCCCTTCCACAGGAGAGAGAGCAGAACTTCAAAAATAAAGCTTTCAGACTTCTAACAACAGTTGTTATGAGAAGGATTGTACCTTTTTTTTTATATTTTCTTAGAAGACATGAAGTAAAATATTTTAAAAGTGATGTTTAGAAAACAAACCTCAAATCTGCCCTGCTCTTTTTTGTAAATCTTAAAACTGCAAGTCAAGTTTTATAGACATGAATCATGCATCATCTTTATGTGAACATATTTACTTAAATTACTTGTAACAGTTATTCTCTACTTCCTAGATTTACTGTAAGCGCATCTGTCGTTATTTAGGGGTAAATCTTATGAGTAGTGAATATGTTACTTTTATTTAAATGAAAGGACACTGAACATGCCTTGGTTTTGTGTAAATATTAAATATAATGCTTCCTACAGATAATCTTTTCCCCTGATGTGTTGTGTAAAGCTGGGCAGCTGGCTTCATGTCCCTTTGCTTCTGCTTCCTCTTATCCCTTTGTCTGACTTGCAAGTTCTTGAGGGCAAGTTGTGTTTCATATTGTGTGGGTTTGCCTGTGACATATGTCAGTGTGTGTATATTACCTGAGATGATGATGTCCTGTTACAGATTCAATGTTCTCTGCATTAATGTCATGCAAATAAAGGTAATACATGTCAAAATAACAGCATGCGAGAAAGTGAGCTGCCATGCTTACCCGCAGACTTTTATAGCCACTACGTCTTTTGTAATACCAGCAGCCAAAAGCAAGTAAAGTTGCCAGCAGCAAAATGAAAAGTCCAATGCCCAGAGCTCTGTTGGGAGAGCAAAACAAAAAAATAACACCACAACTAGATGTATTCTCCTGGGAGCACGAAAGATTAGAGCACAAGTTTGTGTCAGTGCCCTTTCATCAGAGGAAGGCATGGCGTAGAATTTACCTCAGAAAATGGACAAAGTATCAGTAACTTCAGCAAGTCTCTGTAGATTTAGCAGTTAGCTGCATTCTCTGCCAAGTTCTTAATCATTTTAAAAATAAGAAATACATTTCTTTGAAGATAATACTCTACTGCTGATTCTGAAAATCTGTAAATCCAGCAAACAGCATTGCGATATTGGAAGAGAATGTGAAATAAATGCCACACCTGCAGAGATGCAGGTCATGTTTATTTGCTAAATTTCTCTAGACAGCTAGTATTGGGAAATATATCCTTCTTGCATCATATTGCAACAACTGTTGGTGACAGAAGGGTTTTTTGGATACATAAAACACTATAAAACCTTAAATACGACTAAGAAACTTTGAATTATTCATTAAGAGCTCTGCAAGGATTTAGTTCTTGTTTCGTGACATGCTAGGCAGTATTGGTGTGACTGGGTCATTTTAAGGAAAATACACTTAGAAAACTGTGCTGTGACATCCTTCCTACTGCTCACTGGGGACTTTGGAGAAGCAGCATGATTCCGCTGTCTGTCAGAAAGCAAGCTGACAAAGTAATTGCCAGTTTCCTAGTCACAAACCCCCTTCCTTCTGTGTTAATAATCTCCCTGCTAAGACATATGGAATTCATTCCCCTTTTTTTTTTTTCTTTCCCTGTTCAGGAACAGAACAGGGTTAAAGGGAAAAAAGCGTGGGGAAAAATATTACTGTGTGAATCAGGATAAACCCATTCTAATATACTTCTATATATCTACTATCCAGTTGCCCTGCAGTAATTACCACCATGCTTTTGCATGAATAGGGATTTAGTAGTGGGGTATGTGATTTACCAGAGACTTTTTATATCTACTTGCTATCATTTTCGCTGACTCCAAGTCTGATAAAGGAGTGTTTCCTTGCGACCCAAGAAGCCTGGAAGAAGAGGCAAACAGATTTGTGTGACGGAACAGGCTGCTTTTTTGTCTGAATTGCCTGTGTGCTGTCTGAAACGTGAGCCCTTTGGAGACAAAGGCATTTTCTTTTTCACAAGTACCTGGATCTTGCAAGTTGCTCCTGCCCCTTGAAGACTTTGTGTGGACTGGAGACCCGTTAAACCCAAGAACACAGCTAACAGCATTCACTTGCTTTCTGGTGCAGCCGTGTTGCAGCTGATCTGCAAAGTTATGAGATGGCTCCACTGGTTTTGTTACTGTCCCAGCACAATTAAAACTTGGAGAAACCCTCCAAGCAGCTGCTGCTCTCTCTACATTTTGAGACTGCTTTCTGCTTTTTTACATGTTACGTAGTTTTAGCTGTCCATTAGCCTGTATGCCCCCAGAATGTATGTAATTTCTGGAGCTGGTGCTTTTGACTACATGTTTGCCATCAAACTCCTTCCCTGCCTACTCAGAGGCTAGTATGGAAAGTGTGTGTGCAATTTCTTACAATTCCAGCTGTGCTTTTAGGAATCTGGGCTTATATCTAGAATACTACTTCTGGTACCAAAAGGAGAGAGTCGCTTTTGCCTCACATATCTAGAAAAACTGCTTACAATTGCAGACACTGGAATTCACAGCAGTTAGAGGTGAGCGTGCTTAGTTTCAAGTGCCGAGACATGACTAACGAGCTTTTTTTTTTTTTTGAAGAACTAAGCTGCTTTGGATGGACAATGAGAGAGCCTTCCCCTTGGTTTATTCTCTCTGCCAGGGCATGGAGGAACAAAAATCTTGCAGTATGTGTGTGTGGAACAAGTCACTAAGTTCAGGGGCCTATAAACCAGTACCAGAAGCACATTCTGCTTACAGATATCCCGAGCACACTGGAGATATTTGTCTAAGGTATTAAAACATCACCAGTTGGATGGTATTTCTAATAATCCAAGACCAAAATATGTTATTATAGTCTGAAGCTAACAGTATTAGCTTGACTTAGTTCTGCTGAAGTGGACTCTTACCCAGAAACAGTTTACTGAGAGTCACATTCGTATGGCATTGATGTCTTCATCTGCCTTTTTTTTTAACCATTTCTCTGGGGGTTTGCTATGTTCTTTAGGGTGACACAATGTCCCTTTCAGGTTTCTAAGAGAGGTTTGTGGATCTAGAGATAAATTGAGTGTACAGATCATCTTGCAATAGCCTCAAAAGAAAATTCTAAATAAGCCTCAATAAACCTGGTAATTTTATTATAAAGACCAATAACTTGTGATCATATGATTGAACTCTAGATTCTTTAATTCTGCAATTCTGATTTTTCTTAATCATTGAGGGCTCTTAATGATTGTGCAGTGACAAACATTAGAGACAACTACACGATAGTTAAAATGTGCTCCATCTATATACAATGGTGAGGTTTTTTTGATACTATTTCCTGGTTTTCTTTCAATGCAATTTTTTCACCAGCTTACAGGCTAAGGTAGGTTTTGATTTATGCTTACTCTTCTGCTGCAAAATAGGTGTGTCCTCTCCCTCTGAAATAGTTGCCATATGGGTGGTCATTTCTTCTGCCCATTTTGTGAGCTTGGTCCTGCTCAGACCTACAGGGTAGAAACACAGTGCCTCAGCGTGATAAATAATTTGTAATCTTTAAGGTGTAATATTATCAACTTCTGTGTTTTAATGCGAGCATTTTAGGGAGGTAGGATAATCTAGTATCTTCAGAATCAAGTAGATCCACACCCATATGCAGCTGTCCCAATTTAAGACAAAACTCAACTATAGACTATAGTCTGCATTTTAGTATCTCCAGTGACATAAAGGTATTTGCACCTGACTGCAACAGAGAAGAATTTTATGTCATCTTTTTACGTACAAAGTGATAGCAGAATTCTGAAGTACAATGTTGAATACAGAAAGAAAGGCAATTTACCTGGGCAAGTAAAACTATTGAGAGGAAAAACTAATATTGTCCTTACAAGTAGCTGTTTATTTCTGTTATTCCCTGTAAACAGTCAGGGGACAGGTTTTCAATCACTGTAAAGTCTCAGAGATCTGTTGATTTTCAGATGGGAATAGTAATTTATGTCTGCCACAATCTAAACTCAGATGCGCAGGGAATTTATGTTATAATCTTAACTCCCAGTTTTTATGTGATAATCATCAAGCTTCAGGCTGTCTGAACAGTTAAAAATCTAATTGATCAAATACAGTGAAGAAGAAATCCACAAGTAATCATGTTTCTGTCATTTAAAGCACACAACAATAGATCCTACTTGATAGTATCCAGCCAATCTACCTACCTTACACAGGTAAAGTATAAAACACGATGACTTTACTGAAGACAATTCTAGCCAGGGAAGGAAAATATCTACAAGTTCACTTAGAGACAGTCAAGCCTCTTCCAGAGCATAATTTTGAAGCAAAGCAGAAAATTTTGTGTAGAATAAAAATATACAAATCTTTGTGTAGAATAAAAAAGCATACATCTTACCTCCTTCAGACCTGTATTCTGTTAACTGAAAGGCATATGCAGCTTTCTTTTCCTTGACTTGGTCTGGGTTTTCCTCCTTTGATCTGTTTTCTTATGACTATCACGAGTTTAAATTCCTTTCGGTACAGCTTCTGAATGCGTTAATTAGCATGAAAGGGGCAAGGATACAACTTCTCATTTTCTTCTATGTCCTTCTCTCTTAATAAGCAACAGTAGAATCTGTTATTTCTTGATTTATTACATACCATCTGAGAGATGGGTCAGCACCTTTTTACCTGCCCTTTTTACAAGCTCCTAGAGTGGGCAGACTGTTTCTAAATTTAAATGTGTTTTGATTTAGGGCAGATTATTCTGTGACAGAGGACTGGTATTTTTGCATGTCTTTACTATAGCTTTATGTATGCACTCTTTTTGCATCAGTTTAACACTGTGCAAACTAGTATATTTGGACAAAAACTTATAGGTGGATGATGTTATACTGTGACAGAAATGTCTTACATTTGGGCAAATACAGTTTAATTTTGTAGTAATCAGCAAATAACTGCAACAAAAAGAGAGTCTGTCCCATGTACAGCAGAACTAACAAAGCCTGGGTTAGGACTTGTAATTCATACAAGTCCACACACAAGTCCCCTTTGTGTGTTAGCAGAGGCAATTCATACAAGTCCATACAAGTCCTTTGTTATGGACTTGTATGAATTGCCTGTGCTAACACTGTGGTAATTCCATTTACAAGACCAGGCAAGAAATGGCAGTCTGTGATTAATTCAGAGGTCTGGGTACTGTGATGGACAAGCAGTTTTAAATGTTGTCGAAAGAGAGAGAAGATACAAGAACCATGTTCTGCTTGTCATTCATCTTAATGACTCATTAATCTGAGCCTCTCTCTCCTTCCACAGATTTTTTAAGTTTGAAGGACTGAAAACTTTTAATAAGTTTTCACTTGTCTTTGAAGCTGTACACTTGGCTCTAAATGTAGTGAAAACAGCTGACAGACTGAAAAGCAAATGGGAGAGAACAGACAGTGTGAGAAACCAACATCCATTTCATTAGGAAATCAGATGAAAAGTTTAACATTGATATTCTTAGCTAGTGCAGGTCTGGGAGGTCAGACCATTTTTCTGCATATGTGTTTTGCTTAATCATGGTAAAAATGTGATCTGTCTTTAGATATTTTTCCATGGTGGTGCTCAGTGACAGGACCAGAGGCAATGAGCACAGACTGAAACACAGGAGCTGCTCTGAACATCAGGAAACTTTTTTTTCTGTAGGAGTGACTGAGCACTGGCACAGATTGCCTGGAGAGCTTGTTGGGTCTCCCACACTGGCGATACGCAAAAGCTGTCTAGACACAGTCATGACCAACCAGCTCTAGGTGGCCCTGCTGGAGCAGAGGGTTAGACCACACGAACTCCAAAGGTGCCTTCCAACCTCAACCATGCTGTGATTAACACCAGAAAGATCTAGCTGGTTTTGCTGGACCCATTAAACAACATGGTTTTTGTGGAGGGGAAAATGAAGGGAACAAGAAGAATGAAAAATGAGGAACATAAACTCTCTAATTTGTACAAATCATTCAATGCTTTATATTAGACCAGATGAACTCAACAGGAGTTTCAAAGGGAGAAGAGATGCAGGGAAGTTTCTATAGATACCCATGTGTATAAAACTGTAAGTGGATGCTATCACAGTCTATCAAGTTCCCAAGCAACATATCAGCCCTTGTGCTCTCTGAAAATGTCATAGAGCTCCTTATCAAATCATGTGTTTTCCTGAAGAAAAGCTTCATTACTGGGAGAGGATGATAACTGAAGGGCATTGTTTGGTCTTGTGAGAATCAAGACATAGAGTAAATGCATGTGATTACCAATCCTAGTCTCTGCACCATACTTGCCTCAAGCAATGTGTAGGGCAAAATGTCAACTGCTTGAATATTTTGTGTTCTGAATGAATCTCTTGTTAATAGTATAACAAAAAAGGGAAAAAAATAACGACTTTGTCATGATTTGTGGCACCATCTGGAATATAAATGTAGAATGCTGCTATTGAGGAATTGGATGGATGAGAAGGTGAAACACCACATCCTGGTTCTGATCTCAGTTTTTTTACAAAATCTTAGTTCTCTGAAGTATTCTTTGCTAAATCCATCACAGCAAAGTCACTGGAATTGGCAAATGGATTTCACAGGTGTTAATCTTTTCAAAGATAACATTTCAGGAGAAGAGAATGGAAGAGAAGAATTACTTGGGAGAAACCCCCAAGTAACCCAAGTTATTTTGGGTTTTTTGTGATAGCCAGAACTTGTGGCAAACCTAGGACACTGATGAATCTTGATCATAGGAATGAAATGAATGCTTCTAGTGTAACTGAAAATAACAGGCTTGACCTTTGAAAAAGAATAGCTGTTGGTTTTATGCTGTTGACATTGTGATTCCATCTTTCTAGGAGAAGATCTTGGGATTTTTATTAATTTATTTCCCTTAATTGATATTTTTTTCCCTCTGGCATTTGAGGCTTCCTACAGCAGACAAAGCAGAGAAATGTAAGTACCTTGACACTTGATTTAGTAAAGGCTTTAGTTTTGAGTTTTATGGGAATTTCAGTGGAAACTCGCAGGTATTTCACTGCTAAGTCTACATTAACAGTAACACAGTACAGTAAGCAAAAATAAGGGCATTATACTCCTTTCACTTTGTCCTCAGAATCCTCATCTCTCCATGGTTTGGGGATTTACTTGGAAGTATGTATTATCTGGCTTCAAGGCTGAACAGTTCCACTATAGGCCTGAGACTGGATGTGGCACTTAGTGCCATGGTCTAGTAACCACGGTGGTGTTGGATCGAGGGTTGGACTTGATGATCTCAGAGGTCCTTTCCAGCCCAGCTGATTCTATGATTCTATGATTTTATGATTCTATGATTTGGAGCTTTTTGAAAAGAAGCTATTCCTCAAACAGCTGCTACCTTGACTGCAGGCACCTCCAGGAAGCAACATGTTGTCCTGTAGACTGCCTTGCACAAACACCATTAGTATGTTCATCCTGAAGGCCCAGTTCACGACAGAAAGTTCTTCTTCAAGTAATTTGCAAGTGAAGCTCTGGTCCCTGCTGTCAGGCCCATCTCCCTCTGCTCTATCTCTGAAACTTACAGTAAAGAAGGAATTGTAGTCTTGATCCTGTAGTGGCTATGCCAAGAGGATGGCATGATTGCAGTGGTGCCTGTGTGGCTGCACTGTGTTTTTCCAAAGAAAAAAGTGGATAGCTTTCTGGCAGTGTTTTTCTTTGCTCCTACTTTGTGGTTGACTGCAGGTTCTGAGCCCAGGGGATTGTTCGGATTTGTGGGACTTTGTGAGATGCAGGGTGACCAACTGTGTGAGATGCAGGGTGACCAACTGTGAGTGAAAAACTGTGGGTGAAAAACTTTTGGATGCTGTTGGGCACTATCAAGGTGAGATTGAGTTATGACTTCTCTTTCCTGTAATTTCAGGATGCCATCCCTGGATTTAAGAGAATGGCAGTGCTTTCTAAAGCCTCACAGTCCTGTTCCCACCAGTAGATTGATAACTGGTTTGGGGTGAGAAACTCCTTGCAGATGAGCTGCTGATTTAGGCCTCTGGGGCCATCTCTGAAACATTTTGTTTGAAGAAAATTAATATAGTCAACAAGGACTGTATCCTTAGGACTTAGATCAAAACAGTGCTTTGCAGCACATTGCCCAGGGAGGTGGTGAAGTCACCATCCCTGAAGGTGTTTCAAAGACATCTGGCACTGGGTGATGGTTTAGTGGTTCAGGGGATTCAATGTTACTGCTGGGTGGATGGTTGGATTGGATGATCTTAAAGGTCTCTTCCAACCTTGATGATTCTGTGATTCTGTGATTCTGAGTCTCTTCCAACCTTGATGATTCTGTGATTCTGAGTTATCCCTGCAGTAATAGTCCAGTGAAACTTAACTTGGAATATTGCCACTACAGCTGAAGTAAAAGCAGTCCTAAAATGAATACAAACACTCAATACTTCAACTCTGGGCATGAGGAGAGTAGACTTCGGGCTGCTCAGGAAGCTAGTAAGTAAAGTGCCCATGGAAAATGTTTTTATGTGTTCTGGGGTCCATCAGTGCTGGTCACACTTTAAAGATCACCTCCTGAGGGCACAGGAGCAGGCAATTCCAAAGTGTTGCAAGTCAAGCAGATGCAGATGAGGCAAAAGGCTAGCTTGGCTGAGCAGGGATCTGCTTCTGGAAATAAGGAGAAAAAGGAAGGTGTATGCTCAGTGGAAGCAAGGTCAAGTGACATGAGAAGAATACAGAGATGCAGCTTGCCACAGTAGGGAGAAAATTTTTGCAGCCAAAGCTCAATTGGAGTTGAAACTGTCAAAAATGTAGAGGATAGGAAAAGAGTTTTTTTTTCAAATATATTAACAGCAAAAGACAGTGTAGGAATTACATCAGCCCATTACAGGGTGAGGATGGTCACCTCACAAACAGAGACAGAGACAAGGCAGAGATGTTTAATGCTTTCTTTGCCTCTGTCTTCAACATGGATGACAGACCAAGGGGATCTCAGTGCCCTGAGCTTCAAGACCATGACTGCGAGTTGACCCTGGACTTGTGTGGGATCCGATGCATGAGCTGGATCACTGTAAATCTACGAGGCCTGATGGGATTCGTCCAAGAATCCTTGAGGAGCTAACTGATGTCACTGCAAAACCTCAGTGATTTTCAGGTGGTCTTGGGAATCTGGAGAGGTCCCAGCTGACTGGTCCCAATTTTCAAGAATGGCAAGAAGGAGGACCGTGGAACTACAGGCTTGTCAGTCTCACTTCAGTAGGGAGATTATTCTGGGCAGTATTGAAAAACACCTGGAGGACAACGCAGTCATTGGTCACAGCCAGCACAGCTTCATGAGGGGAAAGTCCTGCTTGTCAAACCTGATTTCCTTCTATGACAAGGTAACCTCCTTGATTTAGGAAATCCATTAGATATAATATTTTCAGACTTCAGCAAAGCTTTTGATGCTTTTCAGTAACAAAACTCTCGCTACTGGAGAGTAGTAGGATACTACTCTCGCAGTACCCTTCTGGACAAAATGTCTAGCACACAGCTGGGTAACTGTGTTACGTGATGGGTGAGCAACTGGCTCACAGGTAGGGCACAGAGAGTTATAGTGAATGGAGTAACAACATCAGACCAGCATTCAGTCATTAGTGGGGTTCCACAGAGCTCCATCTTAGGTCCTGTGCTGTTCGACATCTTCATTAATGATCTGGACACAGGACTTGAATAATAAGTAAGTTTGCCAATGACACTGAACTGGGAGGAGCTGTCAATTCCCTGCCCTGCAGAGAGACCTTGACAAATTAGAGGACTGGGCAATCATGAACTATATGAAGTTTAACAAGGGGAAGTGCTGGATTCTGCACCTGGGATGGGGCAACCCTGGATGTGTGTATAGACTGGGGAATGAGAGGCTGGAGAGCAGCTCTGCAGAAAGGGACCTGGGGGTCCTGGTCAATGGCAAATTGAATATGAGTCAGCAGTGCCCTGGCAGCCAGGAGGGCCAATCGTGTCCTGGGGGGCATCAGGCAAAGCATCGCCAGCCAGTTGAGGGAGGGGATTGTCCCGCTCTGCTCTGCACTGGGGCAGCCTCACCTTGAATATTGTGTGCAGTTTGGGGCACTGCAATATAAGATATTGAGCTCTTAGAGAGCATCCAAAGAGGACAAGGAAGATGGTGAAGGGCCTTGAAGGGAAGCTGTATGAGGAGTGGCTGAGGTCACTTGGTGTGTTCAGCCTGGAGAAGAGGAGACTGAGGGGAGACCTCAGTCTTCAAGATCCTCACAAGAGGAGGTGAAGGGGCAAGTACCGATCTCTTCACTCTCGTGACCAGTGACAGGACCTGAGGGATTGGCCTGAAGTTGCATCAGGGCAGGTTTAGTTTTATATCAAGAAAAAGATTCGTCACCCAGAGGGTAGTTGGGCACTGGAACAGGCTTCCCAAGAAAGTGGTCACAGTACCAAGCCTGGCAGAGTTCAAGAAACATTTTGACAATGGTCTCAGGCACATGGTATGACTCTTGGGGTGTCCTATGCAGGGCCAGGAGTTGGACTCAATGATCCTGATGGGTCGCTTTCGACTCAGCATTTTCTGTGATTCTATAATTCTACTTCTTCTGTGCCATTAAACACATACATAGCCATCAAATGACAGAGTGTCCAGGTGACTAATTCTATACTGTGCCTTTAGCGAAGAAAATAAGAGTATGACTTTTCATTTCTCACAAGATCTTGTTCAGGCTGGTGGGAAGTAGGGAAATCTCCAGCCCCAGCCCTGACAGAGCCAGTTCTGGACACAGACCAAGATACTCAGGACTTCACCCAGTCAGGCCATAAAACCCCCAAGGATGGCATCAACCCAACCGCCCTGGACCACGTCTCCACCATTGGGCTGCCCTCACAGCTCCAGCCTGAGCTCCTCGTGTTTGCACTTATGCTGCTGCCTCGCCCTCACACCAAGCACCACTGTGAACGGCCCACCTGCATCTCCTCTGTCTCTCCTGTTGGTGCCTGATTGCTGTTTGGTGCCTCCAGAGCCACCACTCCCCCCTGGCTGAACCAGCCCCGGTTGCACAGCCTCTCAATGATCCTCTGCTGAACTCAGTTGTGTTTGTCAACTCCTTTACTGTATTCTAAAATACATGCACAACTGTGGAGCAGAGCACAGCATGCCACTAAGTGTCTTCTTTATTTTCCATATCTGATGTCAGGGCACGTCAAAATAAATCAGTGACAGGACTTGTAAATACAGAATTTTAACAGAAAGGCAGAGGTAGAAACTATGTCTATTAAACATATCCCCATTTGTCCTGCCTCCAATAACCCTTCCTTTCACTTTATAAAATGAAGAGTTATTTTAAATATTGGAACCCTGCAGAAGACTGAAGACTAATACTTCTAGAAAAATCCAAGTTTTTCCATTGACAAGTTTGAAAAGTAGTTTATCAGGACTTTGCTACAACACATCCAGTTGTGTTCCTTCCAGTGTACGTTCTGCAACCAAGCCCTCACAGGTAGTTGATTTATTAGTGGCTCAGCTGATTTCCTGTAAGTTAAATTAAGTTTTTGAAATACTGATTATTCTTATGAGACAAGAAGTAATTATTTTAGATGAGTGATTTATGTTAAACTTCACAGAGGAAGCCATGGTAAAAATTTCATTAAAAGTTCATAAGTAGGGCAGCTATGATATTCATGATAATTTGGGAACTTTAAAGTGCTGGTTTTTTCCTTTTAATATTTTTTCTAAATGTGATCCTTCCTCCCTTATTTTAAGTACTCTCTTCCCACTGATAAAATAAAAGGTATTTGGATACAGACTCTCTTTCATTCTCAAAGAGTATTTACTCAAAGTATTTGCCTCAGGATAGTTGGAATGTGGGACTAAAGGGGACCTCAGGAAGTCAACTAGTCCATCATACTACTTTGAAGTGCAATTGAATATGTTTAGATTCTCAGTCATATCTTACTTATTCTCTGATATCTCTGTGTTTTCATATTCTCCCTGTAGTCTCTTCCATGCTTGACAGGCTACAATGTTTTTTTATGTCAGCCTATTACGGATTTGAAGGCTGTTCTTGTGCCCTGTAAAACCTTTTGTCTTCTAAACCAGTAAAACTTTATTTCTTACACTTTTTCCTTAGGTTGTGTTTTCTTAATTTTCTCAATTTTTTCCACTTAATTCTTTGCAACTTACATATTTCTTCCAGTTAAAGCCTTGCAAACATCATTATCTCTTCTATCTTACCAATAACACAGAACATTTAGTACTTTTAATGTAAGGTTGCATTTGGGATTCTTACTCATTTTGAAGGCCACTGTAGCCATAGGTCTTCTTCTACTGTTCATCAATCCATCTTCATTTTATGTGGATGTATTTTGCTTTTTACTTCTGATATTTAATACCTTATTTCTCTCTACAGTGAGATAGTGATAGTGTTTTCTGTCACTCATGTAACTTTTCCCATTTATCAGGTTTATTTATTTGTCTGATTCCAGCCCTGCTCTGTAGAGTACCTGCAAATCTTTAGCTCGAAACTCTGTTCAGGTACTCATGCTTTCACATCCAACTTGTTTACTGAAAATACTGAACACTACTTCCCCAAGCTAAACATCTGTGAGGTGATGCCTCTTCCTATTTGATAGCGACAGCTGCAGTCTGCATTTGGGGGTAGGGTTTCTATCTGCTGCGTACACACTTCATGGCAATTTAATTTAGACCATAGTTTCCCTAATTCACTTAGCATGGCCCTGTGGGACTGTACTGAAGACTTGTATAGTCAAAATGCAACTTCAACATCAAAATAATGTGATAATGGTTACTGCTTTAGTTTGCTTGTAAACTAATTACTTTCTTCCTTAGTCTCAAACATTCCTACCCAAAACTTCTGTTGTTTTGTAAATCCTACTAATAGGGAATTTGGCTAAAATGAAACACTTCCATGTGTCCTGAAATGCTGTCTGAGGTCCAGTGTAGTCACACCACTACACTGTGTTGTCAATAGCTTCTGTGTTTGTGTTTCAGGAGATGGAGGGAAGGGTAGGATAATGTTGCCTTTTCTGGTTTAGTACTAGTCTGGCTTCCTCTTTCTTTTCTCTGTTGGAGTTGATCTAAAATAACTAAAAATCCAGCTGATAGGATGAGAGTGGCTCCTGCCATGTAAAAGCCTGCTCTGTAGTCTCCAGCCATGTCCACAATCAGACCTAGAGAGAAACAAGTGACAGAAATGTGATTGATGGAAAACAGGCTAATGTGAATTAGCTCAACAGTGTGAGTGAACATATCCTCTCACAAAGTCAGTGTGCTGCTTACGTATCTGTCTTGCAGCTCTCTACATCATGAGCACATGTAACATCACTCCATTATAGCATTTTAAAATTTGAAACACAATTCACATCCCATTGCTCTGTATGTTGCTACTGAAACAATATGTTTGAAGCACTTTCCAACCTAAAGTGTGGCAGACAGTGAAGGTACTGGCAGAAAAAAAACCCAGACAATGCAGCTATGTATCTGAGTAGCCCCATGTTCTGTGGTGTAGCTGTCATCAGTTGCTGTAATTTGGACCATAACAGTACAGCACAAGAGAGTTTAAAGAAAGAAAGGAGATTCATCTGCAGGAGACATAGTTGGCTGAATTTGTCTGATGTATAATGGGTTTCCATTTCATCGTTTTACAAGGAGCCACAGATGTTAACAAAAAGACCTTGGTTTTCAAAGAGCTTTAAATCAACCAAAATACATAATGCCATTTTGTTCTGTACTGAGAAATCACTAGTATAGTAGTAGTAGTAGTACTGCAGCACTATATCACCTGCTCTGTGGATGTGAAGGCATATTCCTTTGTGGGCTGATGAAAACTGCTTGCTTGTGGAAAGCTTGTTCATGTTTAGCGTAGTCTCTAGTCCACCCTCTAACCTGACATCAGCCCTACATAGTCAAAGGAACTCTGAATTTAAATCTTTTAGATTTTACTCTCAGAGTGGGAGAGGAGAGCTTGAGAGGCACTTAGTGTTCCCTGCTCTTCCGTACTTTCTTTGTAGATTACTGTATGTACACAAATGGTATTACTACATATAGTAATTGTAGATTACTATATTGTAGATTACTATATGTAGTAATTGTAGATTACTATATGTGCACAAACCGATCCCCAGATAATCAGTGCTACTGACCAGCCACTATATAAATGTCTTGCTACTTTGTATTATTTTCAGATCTTTCCAACACACTTTTGATACTATTCTGTCTCAAACTCTCTATAGATCTTCCTGGTTCCTATATTTTCAAAAGTGAATTAAAATGTTCCAGTATTCAGTCTGACCCATTTGCAATCAATTAGTGATGCCATTACCACAGAAATCACTGTCATGCATGAGCAGTGGTCTTTGAACGAGGTCTCAGTGTGCATTTACTAGTCACATTGGTAATTTTTCTGCCATATCACTTTGTAAAGTCCCTACAGCTTGCAGTTCATTTGTTGTGCATTTTTCCAAGATGACTATGCTTTGTTGCCAGTCCATAAATCCATGTGCTGTCTCATTGTCTGCTCTCTCTTCCCACTGTACTTATGTGCTGCCTCACCCATTTATTATGTTGGTTGTCTCAAATGCTGTCTAAAAACAGCAGGCATCTCTGTGAATATTTCCTTGAGGTTTGCATAGCCTAATGTTCAATTTGAACTTCTGTAGAAACCCTTCCAACAATACCAGCATTTGTGCAACATCGCTAGTCTCAAATTTCAGTTTCTTCTCTGAAAGTACGGGTCTGCTGCTTGTCCTAATGGCACACTTTCACAGCAAGAGAGTGGGAGGCCATCAAGTGGCATTATGTGGGAAGCAGGAACACCACCATGTGAACCCTGCCATTCATCCCTGCTTTCATGTTGAACAGGTATCTCTAAAATCACGGAAAAGAGAGAGAACAGTGTATTTTTGAGAGGATTTAAACCAACCATGTGTTTTTTATATACTTCTTGGCTTACATACGCCTGAGCTAAGAAAGGGGGAAATTTGGGTGCAGATCCAGATCTTTTCAGTTTGGGTTACCATTCCCCTTTCTTCTTGTAAACTTTGTAAACTGTGTTTGGCAGAGTATCATCTTAACTTACCTGCAAGAGGGGGCCCCACAAAACCTCCAGAGCTTCGAATGAGCATGAAGAGCCCTAAAGCACTGTCAAATTCTGGCATGCCTACAACATCTGCCAGCACTGTAATGTGAATGGCGACTGTCGTACCAAAGAAGAATCCATAGAAGCCAGTGAATATTGCCAAGGAAACATAGTTGTTAGCCAGTGGCAACAGCATCAGGGAAGTACTGATCAGTGTAATCGTCATCACCAGCAAATGAATGGTTTTGGTAACGTGGAGATTGGCATACCAGCCACACAGCAGTCTGCCTGCAAAGTCCACCATAGCCAAAATGGATAGGAGTGATGCAGTCCGTGATTCATCTATTCCCAAGCTGTAGCTAAATGGAACTAAAAATAACGGAGGAACAAAAAAACTCATAGCAGCTAATATGCCAAAAATGGCATAAAGTACAAACTCTGGTCGCTTCAGAAGCATCCAGTTTAAGGCTTTGTGTGTGATAGGAGACTTATCTTCTTTGTCTGTCCTGGATGCACTCTTGCCAGGTGGTGTTTGAGTTTGGGAATGGTGAGCCTCAAGGAGACAGCTGCTTGTCAGGGGTCGCATCAGTGCTCCACCGATACAAATATTGAGTTGGATGCCACCTATGATCAAGAGGGCACCTTTCCATCCATACTGACTAATCAACCACTGGAAAAATGGCCCAAATGTGAATGCAAAGGCACATTCTCCAGCGCTGGCTATAGCATTGGCCAAAGCCCTTTTCTTGGAGAAATAATGGCTAACAATGCTAATGGCTGGTGTCCATGAAAAGGAAATCCCGAGACCTGAAAAACAATAGAAATAGCATGAGTTAGACACTATTGAGTATTTTGTGAAGGAAATTAAAGCAGTCAGTGCTCCTATATTTGCAAAGTTAAAAAGTGTAGAAGGAAAACATTTTTGTTCCTAGCAGCAGCATGAGCTTAGCTGTACTACCTGTAGGAGTAAATTTGTCACATATTCTGTAAGAGTAAGTCCTATATATTCAAGCAGACAAGTAGGATCATGAAGTTCTCACTTATTACATTCTCACTTAAAATAAATAAATAAATAAAAGAAGTTGGTTTGACAGCTTTGGCACTGTGTGAGAAATGCCATGGTCATGTGGTTGAAGCTAGACAGATCTGAGTGTCTATGCTGTCTGAATTAAGGCTGGTACTAGATGAGTTAAGCTGAGCTGTGCTGAGCTGTGCTCAGGGTAGCAAGTGAGGCAGGACATGAAGAAAGTTGGTGTATTACCTCTATCTGCTCTTCATTTTCTTGCCTGACTTCTTTGAGCAGACTTCAAACCTGCTCTAGCTTAGAGTGATTTTAATGGCTCCCTAGATTATTTGGCAGCCCAGGACTGCCAAAGGGCTCAAATTCCAGACATTTTCCCAGGCATCCGGCATGGAATTTGAAATGGTTTATTTTATTCCCTGCCAGCTTTGATTCCTGTTCCAGGAAAATCTGCTAATTGTTGGAAGCAACTTTCTGGCCTGTTTTCACCTGGAGTAAAGGAAAGGATTGAAATCAAGTGACAGTCTGGGCCTCTGTTCAAAACATAAGATAATGTTATAGAAAGAACAAAATTTGGGATCTCTGTGTCCTTGTACTCTTTATGAAGGTTCTTTAAACCTTCACAAGGCTCTTGTCTCCAAGTGAAAAATAAAACACATTACTAGCATCTAATTATTCACCTTCTCTGTCATTGGAGGTTTCCCTCACAAATTCTTATTTCCAGAGTGGGAAAGGAGGGAAGACACCTTTTAAGAGCATTGTTGGTTCTAGCTGCTCATGAAATCAAAATATACATCAAATTTCAAAACTCCTACCACTAGCAGATAAGGGTTCTGAGTTGCTGCTGGAAGAAAGCCATAAAGCCATAAAGTCATACCCTGTAGGAAGCCAGTCGTTACATACATCCAGACCATGTTGAATCCAAAAAATCCCAGTGCCATTCCTGAAAAAGCCAGGAGTCCTCCAGTGATCACAACTGCCCGATGGGTGTATCGTACACATAATGAACTGGCAACAGGGGCTGGATCAGCAGCAAAATTGGAGAAAGAAAAATACATTAGGAACATTAAGCTGATTGACATGACCAAATAATCAAATAAATCAAATAAAGTACCCTTATAACTCTTGTCTCAAGCAGACTTAATTCTTCTGGATGGAGCAGGACATCAATTGAAATTTCAAAATTGGATCCTTACTGACAGGGAAATGACTCTCCCTGGTGCTCAGATTTTTAAATATATTCAAAATATGTAATAGTTTTTAAACGGAAAGAGCCCTTCAGTGCCTTCCTTGCAGGACAGTTCTACTGAATTTCATGTAAGGATACAACTAGCAACGTGACAGAAACTAGTGTAGAATTTTAGCAGAAAGTGAAACCTCAATTTTATTATTGAGACTGTATTATTGATATGGCTGGCATGGAAACTTTCTAGAGGAAAATAAACTTTGTCTTCTAGAGTTTTGCAAAATCATATCTTTATGGAATTACAAAAGTTTATAAAGAACAAAAAATCAGTGTTTATTTCGTGGTAATGCTTTTTACAGGAAATTTGCAGTTCATTTCTTAAATCTTTATTTTAGTGGTACAGTTTCTCTCAGCAGAGTGCAGGGACTGTTCAGCACGAGGGCAAAAATGTAGTAGGTACAGATCAGAGAGGGCAGCAACTGCTTTATCTCTAGTCACTATCTGGAAGCACCTGAAATGTCAGTGATATTTTTGCTTAATTAAGGATCAGTTATATTGCCTCGCTGTTTTTCCACCTGCATCACAGAGATGAGGTCAAGGCCGTAAGATTTCTTTAAATAGCCTTGGCCACTAGGGGACTCCCAAGTACCACCTGGCATCAGTCGGCTCCTTTCGATACATTAATGATCTGGGGACTGGAATTCAGTTAACGAGGACCATGCTTGTAAATTGAAATACATAGGAAGATAATGAAGAGAGAGCAGTCAGCAAGGAAGGTTTCATAGTAGTTTGTAGGGGCAGGTTGTTGTAGGTTCACCTGTATTAGGATCAGAATTAAGAGAATTTGGTGGCTAGGGTGAGTGAAATAAATCTGGTAGAGTAATAACGGCTGCAAAATGTGCAGGATGTACATTGTCTGATAGCAGACAGACCTGGCAGAAGTTATACAAACCCCAGATGTCTCATCAGCATTTACAGCAAAAATATGATGATTTTATAAACATGTAAAAATTATGCCAAAATTCAGTCATGGTCTCTAAGATGTAGTGGATGAGACATGATAAAGCATATACAGTTGGAGAATCATACGTTATGATGAGAGAAAAAAAAAAAAGAGAAAAGTAGACTCAGGATAACTTCCATGAAAGTGCTTAAAGAGAAGAGAGAAATCTGCAGTTGGAGCAGAAATACTATCAAACCCCAAATTTTAAATAATGAAAAAGGAGAATAGATAGGCAGAAATTGAACATGGGGTAGAAGGAGAAAAAAAGAAGCTAACCACAGAACTGGAAATGGGAAAAATAGCTAGATTCCACAGTCTGAAAGGATAAAGAGTAACACAGAGAAAACTTACAAGCAATGAAAAGGGATTATAATCACAGTGCAAAGAGAAAGGTGAGGGGACATGTACGTCAGTACCAAGAGAAAGCCTATGAATGTGACGGGGAGAACCCTTGCTCTGGTAAACTGAATAGCCTGTTGCTAGTGCAAACCCTGGGAGTAGAAGCACATGCTCTCCTTCCATACAAGAACAGAGCTGATGTTGGAAGGATCCAGACACGACAAAATAATAATTCAGTGATCATCCTTCATACTGAACCAAATGACACTGAAGGTTTCCCAGAAGAACACGATAAGAAAGACTAAGCCAGGCCTGGAAAGATGCTCAAAGAACTGGAGGTTCAGATGATCTTAAGCAGAAAGTCTTCTGATCCCTGTAAATGAAGCAAAGGCAGGAGAAGATGAGGACAATTATATACTGACCTGAGACATTACAAACTGCTATACAGAGGGGTTTTGGAACATTTGGCCATCAAGCTGTATTCACTGAAGGAGGGTTGTTTTCATATGATCTCAAAGGATCAAAAACAATTTCTGAAAATTATAGCTGCCTTCTTGGAACTAGGCTGGCCTCACACCTGGCTAGGAAAATACAATTTTGCTGGTTTATATTTGACATTTTTAATATGCTCTATTCCTTGATACATTCCTATATAATGTAAATATGTGTTAAAACCAAAACAAAACCTAACTAAAACAGGACTTTGAGTTCTTTTATCCTCTTATGTTATTTTTTTTCTCATTAAGTTTGTATGCCTGAATGACAAAATAGTATCACAGTAGGTCAGCGATAAGTCTAATTTGTAAACCAGATTGATAGATTTATTCATGGCTGTGGTCTATGAAGCAAGTTTTTCAATTTTTTTTTCAATTTTTTCTTTCAATTAATTATTTCTGTCACTGCAAAACAGGCATCAAGGATAGCAGTTTATGGAACTGATAAAATTTTTTCAACCCATGACTTGCTTTATCCTTTGACTTTGGATTATTCTTTGATTTTTCTGAATACATTTTTTAAAGAAAGATCAGTTGCTCATGATGTTTGGAAGTACTGCAATTCCAAGCAGTAATACTGATAGGTGTGGACTGAGTAGGATGCATATAATTATATAGTGTCTATGAAATGAAGTGTCTTCACAAACAAAATTATGATAGCATTTATTACGTAGGGATATTTACCTATTACAACCATATATCTATATAAGAACATGTAGAGCAGACTTCACAAATTCTGTACATTTCAAGCCTGCACATGTTTAGAATCATCATCATCATGTGAAGGATCATGCAGTTTACAAGGGCGCAAAGGACTCTCTAAACAACCAAGCTGAGTCAAATGCAGTATGTTTTCTATTTTCCTCCTCCATTTGGTGAGATATGGTATTTGGCCTGCTCCCATAGCTCATTGCCTTTGACTGGGATAGTTCACTCTCTCTTCCCCTATGTTCTGCTTGCGTGATCTTGTCTTTCTTGTGCTCTGAGTGAACTGATTTTTTTTTTCTTTTTAACTCTGTGAGTTTTCTGTTAGATAAATGACTTGCAATCATTCTAAAGGGGTTAAAGGAGAGCCAGAACTGGCAATACATGCAAAGAAGGGGGATCTTGGCAAAGACAGAAAGGAGAAGTGTGAGAAGGCAGGACTGAAAATCATGGTTTTTGTAGCAGATGGTTTATCTGATAGACAGGGTTACAGTCCTGAAGTTTAAAAGTACTTTGAAAAAGTGACAGTCACTCTGAGATCAGTGAACTTTCACAAATTGGTTTAAGAGCTTGATTCAACAAGCTCAGTGGTTATTAGAATTATTTCCAATGAGTTTAACTCAAAGCCTGTAGCAAAATTGAATCATGAGTTCAGGAACATGAAGTTCTTTATGGCAATCAGATTCCTGTGTATCTAGAGTGTCATTATTAACCAATTCCATATCTGAGGCAGCAAATGCTAATTTTCTGTAAGAAAATTTTCTGTATTTTCCGTAGAGACAGAAGAAGAAAGTCTTGTCCTTACATATTTTTGGTTTGGGTTTTTTTTAAGGAAGCTTTTCAAACTTGCTTTGGTAGTTAATACATTAAAATGAAATGCTAGAGGAGCACTTCTACCTACCTCCTAAATGAAAGATGGCAATAGTTACTGATGTGATCCAGGAAGTGGTGCTTGCAAGTCCATCAAAGTGCTGCTGGATTTCAACAAAGAACAGACCAAAAGTCTTGAGAACAGCAACAGTGAGGCCCATCACCATGAAGGCTGACACTACCACAACCCATCCATAGCCACCATCTGGTGGATTGCTGTCTTCAGCCTGCATCTTTTTTAATTCTCAGATCTTCTCTGGGCTTTGGGTTGGCTTTTGATTTTTTTTTCCTGCAGTGGTGATGGTGATGAGGATTTTTAACAGATCTGCAAATTGGTAGAAGGCCCATTGTTAAAGAAATGAATTAAAGTATTCTAGGAATGGCTTACACAGATTAATTACCAAATTAAAATACAATATGCATTACAGCAGTTTGACTGAAAATAATACCTGAGGAACTTATGCCCCAGGAGACAGAAGACTGAGTGAAGAAAGTAAAACAAAACAAAACAAAAAGGAAAAATATTCAGGTATGGAGTGCAGGAAAAAGAAAAAGAAGCATGCATATGTGAATATAAGAGAGAAGACTATGAGAAAAGATGCAGATATGCAAATTTTCAAATACAGGCTGAGGATCCTACCCTTTCTAGTAACTTCAAGAACCCTATCCCACCATTTTTCAAACCAATATATTATAGTAAACAGCAAATAAAATGCCTCATAGGTTACCATACTTCCTAATATTCTCTGGGCATAGCAATCAATTTAATGAATTGTAAAGCTGTCAAGGCAATTGTTTGTGCCCATCAGCCTCTTGTCATAATTTTGTGTGTATAGATAAATCACTATTATATTTGCTAAGTTGCTTCTATGAGTGGTATTACTAGTGTGACAGAAGATGATATAGAAAAAAGAAAATATTCCCAACCTTAAAAGGACAGGAAATCAGTCTGTTTCAATATTCTGGGTATCCACATAAATGGAAATAAATGGAAGCTACTTCACTTATCTGGAAGTCTGAACTTAGTGGACTTTCCATTCCTGAAATGGCAGCCTCTCAGAGAAATACTTCACCTCCCATTTGGCAAATACGAAAATGACATTTAAAACCAAAAGAATTCCAATTGAAGGTATTCACTATGGGATTCTATCAATCTTGACACTTTCCATTTTTTAATTATTGCATAAGTTCCAGGAATACTGCAAACCTGTTTTTTATTGTTTGTGCTTTGTCACTAAAAATCCCATGTGAATTTGCAACTTCGACTAAAGAGCAGGAATGTATAAACTTAAAAATTCTTGCTGTTGTAAGCAAATCTCTAATTCAGAACCATTACAATATTATCTCAGTAATTCCAGTGGCAACTGGTCTTCTCCCTGTGTAAAAAGATGTGTGTAATCTCAGAAATGGTATTCAGCATGAAACTTGGTGTTACTCTGGTCTCTGAGGAGTAAATCAGGGAACCCGTATGAGGTATGGTACTGGACATCTGAGGACTACCTGTACACTGCGAAACTTTGGAGCTTCCTGCCACATAAGACTGAGGATACTTGAACTTCACATAGAAATATTAGATAAATCTCTGCTGTACAAAACTATTGAGGATTAACAAATGTTTTTAAATGGCCCCTGACTCAGAAGGTGTCCAAGCTGCAGCTAGTCCAAATTTGGGAAGTATCCCTTTATGCTTAGTCTATTCTTAATCTTAAAGATTTTGGCCTGAACCAATATAGCTGTTACTGACTTGCAAGGAACGCTCCATAAGAATTTTAGGGTCCTCAACATTTTAGCATTTATAAACATTATTGGCTCCTGCACTGCCAAGCATTTTTGCCAAAATGGGGCGCATGATTCCTTTCGAAGGCATCTTAATAGGCAACAACATCCTATTAAACTCATCATTAAAGAAGCGTATTTCCCCTTAGAAATTTTGTGACAAACTTGGAGTAATCATACAGTGCATGGTGGACACAGGAACTGTCTGAGGGAGGGAAACATTCAAACATTTTTCTGGTTTCTTCATGGACACTAAATTCTGAGCAGGCATATTGTACAAAATGCAGAAGACCAAAGAAGACATGACACTCCTGTCTTGGAGGGAGAATGGGAGCTTGAGATAGCTGGATGTACTATCCTTAAAATTATCTTCCCTGTGTGCAGCTGGGAAAAGTGAGTGTTAGGGAAATCCATACCAGTAGAAATTATTCAGTACAAAGCAGCAGTCACTAGTCCTGTGACTTGCTTCACTGAGGTATATGATCTCAGGAGAACCTAAATCACTTCAGCAGGGTGGGGGAAAGAAGCCATCAGAACCTTGTAGGTGTCAGAAGCAAAATCATTCGGCTGACGGGTCTGGACTAACATGTGGCACTGGACATAGTTAGCCAGACAGATTAATCAGTTGCACAACAACTCAGACAACATCCTGAAAAATCTTAGAACAGCCACAAGACAGGGAGGACTGCCTTGTGGTTGAGGTCTATATGAAGGAAACTGGTTTTCATTCCCACAGTTTCTGGGTGACCTTAAGCAAGTTGTTTGATCTTGCTGTGCCTGTTTTCTCAGTTGGCAAATGCAGCTAATACTTCCAAAGGTCATAAATTTTGTAAGGTTAAAACTGTTAATACTCATACTAGTACTCAGATACTATGAGGAAATACAGAATCTAGATCAAGCTGTAGCCATGTTTTCTGATATTGCTGGGTTCAAGTACCATGGTCATGATTTTGTTTGAGGCCCTGAAGAACATAAAAAAGATGCAAGACTTAAGCTAAATGAGCCTGCCTAGGCAGAGTGATACTGATATTTCTGCATTCTGCATGGGCATGCCTGGGCAAGGGATTATAATTTGTGCCACAAGACAGATAGGAGAAATCCTGCTACTTACTAGGCAGCACCCAGGCTAAAACAGGCATGATAAAATCTACTACTCCCTGACACCACCCAGCACCCTTCACCTTCATTAGGCAAACTCTGCTCCAGGAGGAATATAAATCAGGCCTACTGCTCACAAAACTTAAATGAACAGCATTTTTCCTTACAACAAATATATCTTTTATGTCACAACTCAGAATTCAGCCCTCAGAGTCCCTTCTAATGATCACGGTGGTACATGTAACTCCAAATGAAATTCCTGTTTCAGTTGCATGATTAATGTAGTTATCTCCAACAGCCCTATGGATTTGAAAGCAGTGCAGCTACATATTGTTGGGAAGGGTTGGAATGCCTGAACAGGGTAGAAGAAAGTATAGGTGTTGCAATGGGTGAACATGCTTCTGACACCATGCTTTGCTTTCTTCCTCCTTCACTTGCAAGAGAAAGTTTATTACAAGATGATGTAGTTCCAAAAAACGTAAGCTGAAAAAACCCACACAGGATTTCATTTTGCTCTTAGGTATTGAGTAATGGTAAACAGTAAGGTTTTAGTATCTTCAGTTTCTCATCTTCTCCCTGAAACCAGTCTTTTAAAAGGAAGGAGAAAAAACCTGAAGGGAAAGTCCTCTTTCTGTTGTGCCTGGCATACAAGATTCCTCAAAGAATGTAAAGCCATGTCTGGAAGAATCATCACTCTGTCTGGCATCCCACTGACTCCTACCTCCAAGATTTCTCATGGCAGCTGGAGTGGATGCCCTGTGAGACAGGGGCTTCAATCAGGAAAGCCACAATGCTGTCATCTGTGCTTGGTGTGTTCATCAGCAGGAGCAGACAGCTCTGCTAGTAGTATCATTATCCTCACAGCAAAATTTGCCAGCAAGAACACACAGGCAGGAGTGCAACCTTTATCTTTGCAGCTGGATAGCTAGAGAGGCACTTTCTGAGAAACTGCAGGTGTTCCTCTATTCATGCTCTACAAGTTCTCCAAGCTGTTTCTGCTTTTATTCATGTCATTGACTCAAAAGGCTTATCACACAATAATAAAAATAAATTATAAAACGCTTATCTGACTGCTTACGTTTGAGGGTGCCATATAAACTTGTGAAAACTGATACTTGTTTTACCTGGTTATCTTGTTCCATGTTCTAATTCACTTTTTACAAAAGAGCAAATGAGTTGAATACATTTGCTGCACATTGTAGAACAACTGAGTGGTGGAATCAAGAAAAGACTGTTGTTGGTATGAATCCTAATCTTCTTGTTTTCATGCAACTCATATATAAAACTCCCCAGATAACTGTATTCATTCTCTCTTAGAGGCTGAGTGGACTCCTTGTGAGCTGGTGATACTTTACAGAAACAGGTTCCCCAGGAAGACAAAAAAAGGAAGTATTAAGTTTTTCCACACTTAGATAAAGAAATGTGATTTGTAAGTGGAGGTTTGATTGAGTTTCCAGTACAAGTATCGTACTTTACCTTTGATTCAGACTTAGCAAAAAAAAGAGAAAAGGAAGAAAAACATACTTGATGTACACAGAGGTACAGAGCTTTTTACCAAAAGCTGATACCTTGAAACAGGAATTACATAAAACTAAATACAAAGTAGATCTTTAATAAA